ATCATCATGGGTCACATCGTACATTCTGGTTTGTTTGTATGTTTTGTATCAACTGACTCATAATATAGCCATGTGTAATGATGATCATGTTGGAAATGATAATAAAATATCATCATCATCATCATGTATATATGTTTATGGTGGCAGACATTGAGCATGAGAGAGAGAGAGTTGGCGATATCATAAATTTTTGTTTTTTGGATCTAATAATTTTTTTTCCATCTTCATTCGAACTCTGTACCAAATGTTATCCGGATCTATTTTTTTCTCTCTTTCTTTTACATCCATTCATATGTTGTGCAGTATTTTTTTTTTTTTTTTTTGCTAAAAATCCTAATACCCGATTTCGAATAGTGTGTTGGGTGTGTGTGTGTGTGTGTGTGGGTGTACTTGGATTTCAGATTTTTGATTACTTTATATACCCGAATTCGAATTCGAATTCGGATGTTGATGATGATGATACTTTATTTATCTATAAATAAATAACTAACTAACAAACAAAATCACCGAAACATACTCTGTGTGTGTGTGTGTGTGTTTCATTTTCATCTGATCTGATCTGATCAATAAATGTGAATGAAGATGATGATGATGATGATCAAAATCCATCCAGTGTCTTCGTTTCTCTTTCTCTCTCTTTTTACTAATATTGAATATATATCGTTATTATAATCATAAAATCAGAATACCCGAATATATCCGGAAAATAATACCATTTCCATTTCAAAAAAGAAAGAGAAAAAGAAAAAAAAATGGACAGATTCAGCGATGAAAAGAAATGATAAAATTCAATTTGATAACAACGATGATGATGATGATGATGATATGTTTGAAAGATGAAAAAAAAGAAGAAAAAAAACTTTAATTGAATATCCATATAAATATCATCATCATCATGAATTTTCGTTATAATAAAAATTTTTTTTCTGATTATAATAATTAGCATCATTAGATAGTTGGTGATACATTAGATTCTGATTCTGTGATGATGATGATGATGATGATGATGTAATAATAATTATTCTTCATCAATCTTATGTCAAGATGTTCGCATATGTTTGAAAAAGTTCCAGTATGATTCTTGTGTGTGTGTGTGTCTATGAAGTAAAAAAAAACGAAACAAAGATGACAACTTGAGAATTTTTTGTATAATTAAAAATTTTTTTTTCGTTTCAAATTCCATTCAATTCTGTCCAATTCGTAATCACCATAATCATCATCATCAACATGATAATCGTTTTTTGGTAATAGCCAATATGTTTGTGTGTGTGTGTGTGTGTTCATCATTATCAATATCATTATTTCATTGCCAATTCGTACGAATTTGTTTCCCCTTAATCAAGAACAAGCTAATTGTATATACAAATAATATTGAAAGGCGGAAAAAAATAGCCGGAACAACATACAAACAAACATAAAAAAAACGCTGAATTGTGTCTTGTGTGTCTTTAATATTGCACATTCCCAACAAAAAAAAAAAAAACGAAAACGAAAATTCTATTTTTAGTGACAATATCATGCACACACACACACAGAGAGAGACACAAATGACATTAAATGTGACAAGAGCAGAAATATTTTTTTGGTCAAATATTTCTCAATAGTGGTGGCGGTTATATATAGCGAGTAAAGTATTTTTTTTTTTTGTAGCAATTATTTCTCATAATAAAATTGTTGCCATTATTATTATCATTTGGTCATCATCTTCGTTGTCTTCTGTTGTAAATTTCTCTGTATATGTGGACATTGTCCATACGATTTTATTATTACTAATTACGATTGTTTTGTTCAACAATCGAAGCCGATAATTTTTTGATAATAATAATGATGATGATGATGATGATGATTGGACGATAAAATGCACGCACATTTCATTTATTTATATACATAAATTAATTGTGTTTAAGCCAATTTTAATTTTGAAGAAATTGTCAGTTTGTTTTGGATGATTTTCAGATTTTGTTTTGTTTTTTTTTTTTGGTTTCATCTGTAAAATTATTCGAACATCGATTGTTCAATCGATAGTAAAGAATTGATTGTTTGATTTTTTTTAGTCAAAAAATCGAATAAAAAGAATGGCTGATATATATAAATGTTTCAAAGAATTCTGAAAATCATTTCATTTCATATATCATCATCATCTGGTTCATTCTGGTTTTTTCATCATTCACAGAATTGGACAAATTGTAAAAAATTTCTGTATCTCTGACTTTTTCTCATTTGTTCTGTTTTAGTTTTTGTTTGTTTCAAATTGATCGATTCGCTCTCTCTCTCTCTCTCACTTTTTTTCATTTATTTTCAATGTTTGATCGTTTTTTTTCCGGCAAAAAATAGAAAAAAAAATTTTTTTCTCGATTTATTTTCCAATAAACACACATGGAGAAAAGTGTGTACCAAAGTAAATTAAACCTTCTTTTTTTTCAGCGTCTGGTTTTTTCTGATCCATTGTGATAAAAATTTAAAACGAACAACATTCAACATTAATGATAAATTATTCGAAATAAGTAATTTCGTTTTTTTTTGGTTTCGTTGAAATTTGAGTCAATTTTTTTGCTCGTCTTTAAATTTTATTTTAATTTTAAATTTTAAAACGTCTTTTTTTGGGCTTATTTTCCCTGTGTGTGTGTGCGTCTTATTATTGACGTCTGGCTGGTTGGTTGGTTGGTTCGAATTCGAATCGATTTCTTCGACTATTGCAGACATTGAGTTTTTTTTTCGCGATCCAATTTTTTTTCTGATATAAACATCCTGAAGGCGAAAAATTTTTTTTTCCTTTTTATCAATGTCAGTGGTTTTTTTCGCTTTCTCTCTCTCTCTCTCTCTCTCTCTCTCTCTCTCTCTAGGGATGATGAAAGAAAAACGGTTTAAACTTTTTTTTCGTCTTGTTGATGCTAAAAAAAAGGAAAAATTTCGGCAAATGAAAAAAAAACTTGAAAATGAAAAACATTCCATGTTCCACACACACACACACACACACACACACACACACGCTTGCATATTGATATTCAGTCTCAATTAATTCTGAACATTTCTGAAATTTTCAAGTTCCTAGGTCAATTCTTTTGTTTGATGGTCAAAAATTGATTTGCATCATGTGAAGAATTTCTTTTGAATTTCAATTTTTTTTTTTTTTTTTGATGGCCAAAAAAAATTCAAAACAATACAAAATAGCTCCAAGGTTTGATTATGAACAAATACGGTATATATAAAGTTTTTTTTCCGGCTAACTTTTCAAAGTATGGCCATGTCCATGCCAAGATATATTATCGATTATCAATCGAAACAAACAATTTTCATTTGTAATCGAAATTTTTTTTTGTTTTTTCGAATTGGATAAATATTCCCAGAAAAAAAAACGAAATGGATTTATATATGATGATGATGATGATGATGATGTGGTTCAATATATTTTTGTTCACAAACAAAATGTAATTCTCAAGTGGCATACTATTAACAGTGGCCATATATAACATAATGGATATCTGTATCTTTTGCATTGCTGAATTTTTTTTCCGTTTAATTCTCTTTCTCCCTGGAATAGTTCCGTCTTTTTTTCCATTCAATTCTGTGCACTGTTTTTTTTTATTGATCGACCATGGTAATTTTCATTGTTGTCCACTAACAACAAGAAACAACAACAACAACAACAACAACGACAACATTCACGTACCAAAAAAAAAAAGGAAATTGAAATCGAAAAAAAAATTCATAACATGCGTATAATCATGGACATTTTTGTTTGTTTGTTTTAGAAAAACTTGCAATCTAGTAAAAGTGAAAGTGTTGATAGTTTCAAAAAAGATTAATCGCGACAATATATATCCAATTTTCGTGGTCACTTTGTGTTCGTTTTACCATCAATTGATTGATTTGACTTTTTTTTTGTTGTTCACTCATCATTGATTATCATCAGACCATAGAGATATACATCACAGGGCAACATAAACCACCATCACAGTAAACTGCAGTTCTTTTTCATATACATCATGTTTTTTGGCTGTTTGATTAAGTAAAAAGCATTGCAAATAAACAACCTTTTTATCACATTGAAAATTAAGAGATTTTCATTTACAGATCATTTTTCTTTTCGATTTTGACCATCATCCACATCAACATCAGTGTATGTGACCAAAACATGGGCTCTCATTCAAGTATCGTACCATCAATTGAAGAATGACAACAATAATACATTAATCATTATGAGTGAAACTTGCAATTTTTCAAACATACACACACACAGAAAATGGACAACATTATTTTCCATGTTGTTGTTGTTGTTGTTGTTGTTGTTGTTGTTATTATTTTCTATATTCTCTCTTTGCACAGTGATATTGTATCACAAACAAACAAACAAACAATCAGAATATAATACGGATATAATGTGATTAAATCATCATATCGTCAACAACAAGAAACAAAAAAAAATTCTTAATTCCGATTCCGGAAAAAAAACTGATCCAAATGACAGATATAGATTTTTTTTTATGTTTTTTCCATTCACTCCAGTTCTAAAAAAAACAACGACTAAATCCACACTAAATGCATGCACATGCACACACACAATAGTAGGCAGTTAATGGTTTTTTTTTTTGAAAAAAAACCAGAAATTTCATTGTGAATTTTCAATTGAATCTTCAATGGGATTCTTGATTGAGTTTTTTTTTCTTTCATTCTGTCTTTGTCGTTGTCGTTATTAATTATAACCTGTCACTGTTTTTTTCTCTCTCTCTCTCTCTCTCTCTTTTTCTGTTTTCGAGATGTTTCCGAGCAGCCCTAGTTTGGGTTGTTCAATCGAAAAAAAAAAAAATTTACTTGAATAAAGCGTGTGTATATGTCGCGTGTGTAAAGTGATTGATTGACAGTAAGATTTACGCACAGAGATTTTTTGGTTCTTAAGAAATTCATTTGCTCTTGACATTTATTTTTTATTTTTTTTGTTAGTTGGAAAAATTTAATTTTCATTTTTATTTTTATTTTTTTTTTCTGAAACAGTCAAACGACGTTCATTAACAACAGAATCAACGAGCTTAAATACTATGATGAATAAAGCAATAATGAAATCATCATCATTGTCATGGAAAAATAATCATCGTATTGAACAACAAGAATCATCAAATCAACCGATAATGTTATCATTGATGATTGATACACAATTTAAAAATGAACCAATAACACATATAATTGGTTGGGAAGGAACAAAAACAATATTACCATGTAATGTTTCATTACCATTATTACGTAATGGTCGATATTATAATGATTCTATTGATCTGATATTATGGTTTCGTGGACAAGAACAACGTGCACTATATTCAATTGATGCCAGACGTACATCGACAATGCAACGTGCAAAACATTTTACCGATGATGATATGCTTGGCACTAGAGCTTTTATTGATCTTAGTACACGTCCAAGTAGTTTGATTATTGATTCATTGAAAAGTATGTGTTTGATACAAGAAAAAAAATTTTTTTTTTTATTTCAAAAATTTTTTTTCTTCTACAGTTGAAGATGCTGGTGAATATCGTTGTCGTGTTGATTTTCGTCGTTCACCATCTGAACATCGTTCCATATTGTTGGATGTATTGATACCACCAAAAGAGGTGATCATTATGGATGAATTTGGACAACGTCTTAACGATCCAATCAGTCCGTTCAATGAAGGTGCCCATCTTAATCTTATCTGTGAAGCTGAAGGAGGTATGTTTGTAACAAAAAAAAAATTAAAAAATACAAAAAAAGTTTCCACCACCATCATTGTCATTGTCATTGTCATCATCATAATTCTATTATATTATTAGACTCAAAATCATTCAAAATACACAAATCAAAATCATCATCATCATCATCTTGAAAATAAAAATAAGTTTTGAAAGTTGAAATTTGTCATCATCATCATCATCATCATTCGGAATTCCGTTTTATTTTTTTTATTATTCTGAACTTCCATTAAAGAAAAAAAATGAAAATTCTTCATTTCAAAATCTGTCATTCAGTTCTTTTTTTTCCATTTATTCGTCTGAGAATGTCTATTCTTTGCGTATGTGTGTGTGTGTGTGTGAGAAAATTTTTTGAAAGAATGAAAAAAAACATACAAGAAAAAAAAGAAGATTCCGTGCTTGTAGAGGCGAAAAAGTTCAAAAAATTTTTTTTTCTTCACGATAATTCAAAGTGAATTTCGTCATTTTATTTTGGGGTTAATTTTTTTTTCTTCTCTTCTTCTTTGGTTTGAGATAGAAACAGACATAGACAGACAGAGACAGAATGAATGGTTAGCAATCACTGTCATCATTTCAAAGTATTAGAATAAACGGAAAAATAATTTCAATGACAATTGAAAAATGTCAAATCAGTTTATATGAGTGAATTTCTTATTCCATTTGATGATGATGATGATCATTGATTGTCCATTTTTTCCCATTGAAATGAGCCGGGTTTTTTTCTCTGTATAATTCGAATAAACAAACACGATGATGACAATTAGAGTTGAAATAGTTTTTTTTCGAACGTTTTTTCGAATTCAAAATCATTGACTTTGGACATGACTGCTTTTTGTTGTTGTTGTTGTTTTTTTTTTGGTATATCACTCTGTGTTCCAAATTAGGGGATAGAAATAATGGTTGATGATGGTGGTGGGCAAACAACGATTGCAACTTTCTTTATTATCACATAAAAGAGTTATTTCCGTGTTTTCATAACTTGTGTAATAAGGCCAACATCAAAGCAAATCAACAACAACACAATGATGTGCAGTTCCAATTGAAATTTTCAGCGTGTGCCTTTTTATTTTGTTTATTTTTTTGGTTATAAAAAAAATTCTTTTTCGACGTTTCCATTCCGAGTAGCAGCAGCAGCAGCAGGGAAACAAAGTTTCTATAATTTTTTCCTTCCTTTCATTTTTTTCGCTGTGTGTTATGTGTGTATATATTGTTTTTAATCAACCAACAACAGCAATATCAATCGAGAAAACAAAATGATGCTGATGATGATATAAAACATATGTGAAACTTTCACATCGAATGAGAGAGAGAGCGTGCCAAAGTGAAACAAAAATAAAAATTAGATTAACCAACAACAACAACAAAAAAATACCGAAGTGCAAAACATTAATCTAACGAAAAGAAAAATATTGTGTGTGTTTGTCTAATTAGCATAAGAAAATGTAGTAATAATTAACCACACCAGAATTTTTTTCATTCTAAAAATAATTTTCATTTCCATTTTTTTTGTTTTTTGTTTATTTTCCCGTGACAATAACCGAAAACCACCACCAAAAACCGCAAAAAAAAATTTAGGCAAACCAAGACCATTATTATATTGGTACCGTAATGATCAACTATTGGACAATCAATGGACAATAACAGCACAAGGCATTGTTCGTAATGAACTTTTTATACATAAATTACATCGTGATGATCAAGGAACAACGCTTACATGTCAATCATTATTCAATGTTTCTGATGAATCTATTGGCCAAATGTTTCCCAATATAATTCCATCATCATCATCATCAACAATGACAACAACAACAACAACAACTATTGGTACAAATTCAGCTGCCATTCCGACATTATCATCATCATTATCATTATGGAATCCTCGTGATCCTGAACAAATAAGACGTGCCATATTAGCTAATCAATTATTGGTTGGTCAAATTTTCGACAACAATAGTAGCAGTAGTAATCAACATGAAAATTTATTCAAATTAAAACAATCACAAAGCAGTATCCAATTGGAACTTAATCGTAAGTGTTTTTAATTCTGTTTTTTTTTTTGCCAAACTAGAATCATCATTTTTTATAAAGAAAAACATAGACATTGAATGAATGGATGATAGAAAAGTTTCGTTTTTTTAATTTCTCATCATTGAAAATCTGAAGAAAAAGATGAAATAGAATAGAATTTTTTTTTTTTTGAATGATAATGATAAATTAATTTCACTAAATATCCACGAATGGTGGTGGTGATACCAACACACAAAAAAAAATCCTCATAGATTTGGTTCTTTTTGGTGTTTTCTTTCCATTCATTCATTCATTCATTTATTCATTCAGAAAAAAATAAATTTTCTTTTGTTCTTTTTTTTTCATTTGAATGAAAAAACTAACAAACGAAAATGAATATAAAAAAAATTGTTCATCATCATCATCATTTTTTTTTTTTTTTACAATATGAACTTTTGCATATTTTTATAACTTGGTAGTGATGGTGGTGGTGGTGGTAGTGGCAGAAACAATGAGAGAGAGTTAATTATCTTTTTTTATCATTATTTTTTACTTTATTCTGCCTGATTTCATTGTGATGATGATTTTAGTTTCGGGTATTGTGTGAGTTTGGCTAAAACTTACATTAAATTTCATTCCATCATTATTTTGATAATTTTTTTTTTTTTCTTCTTCTTCAAGATATACCTATGATGTATGTTGCTTGAACATTTTTTTTTCGTAGCCGCTGGTCTTTGTTTTTTTTTTTTTTTTTTTTTCATAATAATGTTCACAGTGATTATCAACTGGTTCATTGTTCAATGATGAGCTTTTTTTTAGTTTTGGTCATGAAAAGATGTGTGTGTTTGTAATTTTTTTTTGTTTCAAAATTTCTTTTTTTTGTATTCTGTGAAACAAATGAACGAATGAAATTCCGTGGTGAATGATGGGAAAAAGAAAATCATCATTTTTTTAATAATAATAATGAATATGCAAAAACAATGTTTGCCAACTTTTTTTTTCTACATTGTCCGTTTCTTTATTTTTATTTTGTTTCCGAATTCTTTTTTTTCAAGGAAATGGGTAATGTTGCTGCTGTGTGTGTGTGTTTGTCTATGGGTGTGAATCAATTTGTGGTAGAAATGAATGTTCAAGAAAAAAGTTTGTTTAAAAAAAAGTCACAGAAAAAAAAATGCAAAGTGAAAAAAAAGTTTCTTTTTGGAACGTGCCTTGTCAAATTTTCCTGAATTTTTCTTTTTTTTTGTATGATGATGATGATGATGATCGAGGAAAATTACATTTTCAATAAATTGAAATTTGATAATTCTGGACTTTGGTGTGTGTGTGTGTGTGTCTCCGGGGCAAATGAAGAAAATGAGGAAATTTTTTTTTTCGTTTTTGTTCTTTTGAATATTTTTCATTATTAAATTTTTTTTTGCTCTATGAATAAATGAATGACAAACACATTCATATAATGTGAATCATGAAAACAGCCACTGCAATAGCAACGAAATCTAGTGGGAAAAATTTTTTTTTTCAAAAGATTCATTATCAAGTTTTTTGTTGTTGTTGTTGTTGTCTTTTTTCCGATATGACGAGCTGTTGTTGTTGTTGTTGTACTAGTTGTTATTATTTGTCTTTCTTGTGTTTATCGATTCGATTTGTCATTCCAATATTTTTTGATGTTCGATCCGATTGTTTTATGCCAACGTTCAAATCTATTTGATGTTTTTTTTGTGTGTGTATTCTTAACCCCTTTTTTACTGTGTGTGTGTGTATGTGTGCTACAAATAGAAAAATTTACAATAGTGAAAAATGGCTTTATTGGATTTCTATCTTTTTCTCTCTATGTGTGTGTGTGTGCAACGACCCAAAAAAACAAAAATGGTTAAGTTATCTCTGTTTATCTCAGTCTTATTATTAGTGTTTTGTTTCGCAAATAAGAAAAAAATAACGAAAAAAACAACAACAACAACATTCGACATCATGATTTATCGCTTTGTTTTTTTAGTATACATTTCGCTTATCATCGTTTTGTTTTCTCGGTTTTATTTTACATTGACCGAGAAAAGAAAATAAAACAGAAAAAAAATCAAAACATACGACAACGACGACCTAATAAAGTTGAATTTGTCATTGTTTTTATTTTTTGTTCATAAACCAAGTTACATACCTGTTTGAAAAACGACGTTATATGATCAGTTGATATTTCAATCGAACTGAAGTCTGGATTTTATTTTGTTCATCATATACACATGGACAGAAAGCCAAATCAAATCCCATTTGATTTAACTGGATTATAGATCCTTAGTGTTTCCCTTTTTTTTATGTAAACCATCAACATAATGGGCAATAATGATGATAATGTGTGGTGGTGGCGGCGGTGGTCAGTTTTGATGACCGCTATTTAATCTAGTTGGTGAATATATAAATTGAATTGAATGAAAATGAATGTTTTACACAACAACAACAACAACAACAACAATGACGATGAATATAACGACATCATCATTGAAGCTAAATGATGATGACCATGTTTTGGTTTGGTCCATTTGTTTCATGGTATATATTGCCATTGCTCATTTCATGGCAAATTGAAATGACTTTTTGGAAGAAATGAAAAAAAATGTCCAAAAGTCAAAGTTTTTTCTTTCTCTCTGTTTGTGTGTGTGTGTGTTTTCATTATAAATAAATCGATATTTTTCAGTAGAAAAATTTACTTGATTTTTTTTGGTCCTTCTTACCAATTTAGTTTATGAAAAATAAATTTTCATCATTCGCTCACAAAATATACTATAATTTTGACAGTGAAGCCAACATTTTTTTTTTTTGAAGCCAACCAGACAGCCAGCCAGCCAGCCAATTTTTGGTTAATTTTACGATTTGAGCTTATCTTGTTCATTCATTCATTCATTCGATTCAATTCAAATTTAAAATCCTTCGTTGCGACTTTGAATTCAAAGTCACTTTGTTTTTGTTTTTTTTTTTTCATTCCAGATCGATTAAGGAAATGAGCCGCTTATAATAATCATAATAATGATAATAATCAGATTCAAAAAACAACAACAACAACAAAATTTTTCACTAACCACCATAAAAGAAAACTATCCATCCGTTTCTTTGTTTGTTTTTCATTCATCATGATATAGAAAAGGATTTTTTTCTGTTTTATTTTGCAAATTGTTTTTTTTTTTGTTTTCTTTTGTTGCAACAACCATCATTATCATTATAAATGAATATACGAACTGAAATATTCGACGTCGTCGTTGTTGTTGTTGTTGTTGTTGTTTTTTGATCATTCATCAACAAGATGATGATCTTTGATCGTTGAATGTCTATTATCATCATCATTATCGTTGTATTTTTTTTTCTTGCTTTTAAAGAATTAGTAATGGTGCGATGTTCGTATCGATGCAATGGTGTTGGTGTGGTTGATAATAATAATCGTTCAACATTGAATAATGATGTGAAAAATGAGAACCAAAAAAAAAAAAAAAAAAAATTTCGATTTCAAATATTTTGAAATTTGTCTGTTTACAGTAGAATAAATGTGTAAAACCCGAATAAATCGAATTGTTTGCGAATAGTTTCGTTTTTTTGTTCGTTTCAAGTTTCAATATTTCGCGTTTTTTTTTTTTTTCATTCCAAATCGGATTCAATTTTCCACGGCTTTTTTTTCTCCAAATGGAATTTATTGAATGAGAAAAAAAACGAAATATTCTTATTATGATCATCATCATCATTTTTTTCATCTATCGGTTTCATCGTTTGTTTCACTCAATCCATCCATTCATCCATTTGTTTGTCATTTTTTTCACCATTCGAATATATCGGCGGCAATCATTTTTTTCCAACAGAAAAAGAATATGAATCTAGAGAGACATAAAGAGAGAAATAAAAAATTCTTAAAATGTTTATGGAAGAACGGGAAGAAAAAAAAACTTTTATCATTTGAATATCATTACTGTTATTGCTTTAGTAGTAGAATCACATAAATATTCGGCGTTGCCCTTGCTGTATTATCATCATCATCATCATAGTAAATAAATGTGATGTGATGTGATACCATCATTGTGTGTGTGTGTGTGTGTGTCTGTACAAACGATACAAAATCGAATATCGAAAAAATATATTCTGGGCGATAAATCGAAAATGGATCTCTTTCTCTCTCTCTCTCTATTTGTATGCAATTTGATATCATTTCTAGCTACTGAATTCAAGTGTGTCTTTTATTTATTTGTCTGTGTGTGTGTTTTGTGAATATAAGTTGATAAAAAAGAAGAGAAAAAAATGAAATGTAACGGGTACATATTTACGGTATGTTTATTGTGGTGTGAAACAAACAAACAAAAAATGAGAATAGTAAACAACAACGAAACGAAACACATTGAATATGGTCAGAAATCACGCACAATATCAATGATGATGATGATGATCACTGTCATTAGTAGTGGTGGTGGTGGCGTTGTTGGTGGCTGTCATAATTTGTGACACCTTTTTATTTTTTATTTTTTTTTTTTGCAATGATGATGATAATGATGTTTGGTCATGATTTTAGTATTCTATAACATATTTCTATCATGTATATGACAATTTATTATGATGATCATGATGATCATGATACAAAAACATTTACATTAACCAAAGACGTGATGGTGTGATTGATGTTGAGAATATGTGTGAATGGTTAAGTTCATTTTTTCTTTACGAAGAAGAAAAAACGATTATGGTTTGACCATCATTGGTGTGTTTTGAATGTTGTTGTTGTTGTTGTTGTTCACATTGCAAAATTCATAATTCATAAGACACATACACACTCGTACGCTTATTCAAAACTTTTATAACTCAATAAATATTTGGTCAACACAGAAACGCCCTACACACAGAGAGAAAGTTTTTTTCTTTCGATGCATAGAGAATGAAAATTGAACAAACTTTGATTTTTATTTTTTTTTCCGTTACCTTATTTTTTTTTCTGATGATAAATAAATCGAATTCTCTCTCTCTCTTTCTCTGAATAATGTTTGTCATTTGCATAAGACCGTAACGAAAAAAAAAACATTCGAACGAATTTTTCTTTTCGATGGAAATATATTCTCAAATCATTTCCTTCGTTTTTGTTGTTGTTGTTGTTGTTGTGTCATTATCATCATCATCATTATCCGTTCATAAATAACGTATTGTTATGGTTCAGCTATTATCATTATCTTTCATAACCAAAATAATAATCATCATAATCATAATCATAATCATAATCATCATCATTCGAAAGAAAAAGAAACGATAAATTTCTAAAAATCACAGCATCAACTTCACATTCACATTTTTTTTTGTGATTCATTTTGTGTCGTTAAATGAGCAACAATTAAATTAAAAACATTTTTCTTCTTTTTTTTCTGGAAAAAAAAATTTTTTTTTCACGAGCTTTTTATTCGAGAAACTCTGGAAATGAAATGGAATCATTAAAGCTTTTGTTGTGTTTGTGTTTGTGTGTGTGTGTGTGTGTGTGTGTGTGGGTGAAGAAAAAAATCATTTTATTTTTTTTTTGCTCAATCTGCGATCTGTTTTACTTTTGGATTTTTATGATCACCATCATCATTCGTAGTCGTAGTCGTCGTACTATATAAATATCTACTCATTTATGAAAAACTTTGTTATCGTTGTTTTTATTGTTTGGCCATTTCCTGTTGATGGTTTATCGTTTATTATTTGGTTTTTATCTATGTTATAACAAAAAAAAATTACTAGACGACATATATATCCACATGAAGTATCTCAACTTTTGATTATCTCATGTGTTTTTTGTTGTTGTTGTTGTTATTGAATGAATGAATTTTTTTCCTTTTCAAACTTTAATCATTTTCTTCAATTTTAATTTTTGTTTTTTGCTTTTTAATAGTCCGTCCATTGAATGTACGCATTACAACCGTACATCGTCCATTGATTGATGGACAAATGATTGTGATCAATTGTGAATCGGATGGTGCACGACCACCAGCATTATTGTCATGGTGGAAACAATCGCAACGTTTAGAACACGCTGTTACTGAAGAAATTGGTGTAGGAAATTCAATTTCTAATCGTACATTCAGTACAATTCAATTTGTGCCAACAATCAATGATAATGGTAAAGTGTTGAGCTGTCGTGCCGATCATCCAGTATTGCCTGATTCTTCCCTTGAGGATTCTTGGATTCTAAATGTTTTATGTATGTTGACATTTTTTTTCTCTCTCTCTGTTGTTGTCATTTTTTTTATCGAGCTATTTTCGTATTGTAATATTTTTCCCTTTTCTTGTTTAGTTAAGCCAAAATTGACAATTTCATTTGGCGCTACCATTCAACATGATAATATCCATGAACGTTCCAATGTTTCAATTGAATGTCATGTTTCAGCTAATCCTATCGCTTCGGAAATTGGATGGATTTTTGAAGGACGTCGTCTGTCATTCGTATCGAATAATCCAAAATCAATTCATCATCATCGTGGTGAATGGAATGATTCTTGGATTGAATTCAAATCGAACACATTATTAATCTATAATATTGATCGAAAACATTCCGGTCGTTATCGTTGTATGGCTGCCAATGTTCAAGGTGAAGGATATAGTGATGATATTCTTCTTAAAGTTCAATGTAAGTACACAATAAGAATTGGATGACAATTCTGACTATTAAAACTTTCATACTGTCAAAAAAAACAGATAAACCAGTTTGTGCACGTGGTCAACGTAGTTTATTTGGTGTAGCACAACGTGAACCACTTCAAGTGCCTTGTACAGTTGAATCCGATCCTGAAGAAGTGACTTTTCGTTGGATGTTTAATAGTTCACAATCAGAATCAATGATGATGATTCCTATCGATACATTTCAAGTTCGTCCAGCTAGCAAAAGTTTGTTGTTGACAAAAAGTCGAACTTCGATCGCACGTTATGAACCAAAAACACGTTATGGTTATGGTCAATTATTATGTTGGGCAACAAATAAACTTGGCGAACAATATGAACCATGTCGTTTTGATATAATACCGGCTGGACAACCACAACCATTGCAAAATTGTATGGTACGAAATCAAAGCTCTGATGGTCTGGTGGTACGTTGTCAACCCGGTGATGATGGTGGTCTTGATCAACAATTTCATTTGGAAATATTTCAAGCTGATCAAGGACAGATGGTGGCCAATCTAACCACAAGCGATATCGTGGATGATGGTGAAAATTTAGGTCAACAAATTTTATTTGGAAACATTTTCAATGATTCAATTGATGATCATAAAGCTGTGGCTGCTAATCCATTAGCACAATCAAACAATTATATTGAATTTATTGTTCGTGATATTCCAGTTTCAACATATGTTCTTTTATTATATGCATCTAATGTTAAAGGTCGTAGTAATTATGTAACACTTTCGGCTACAACAATGCATCCCGGTAGTCGTGGATCAGGTTTGACATTTTTAATGACTGTTTTATTTCATTGTAATGATTTGTTTTTTCAGAATTTCTAAAATTTACTGCCGATTTTGGTATCAAACCTATGATGTATTTGTTAATCACTGTTGTCATTGGATTAGTCATTTCAGCCATAATCATTATGATTGTATCGAAAATTCGTACCATTAATCGATCTAAAGGTCGTCATCGACCACTTTCATCGCCAACATCATTATCATTGTCTAAAGCTAATAAATCAATGATTAAACAAATATCTATTGATCATAATGATAACAACAATAACAATGATGGTAGTGACGCACATATCAATCTGGATACATTTGATACATTCACAGCATCTATACAGCAATCATCAATTAATAAATTAGACAATCACAATCAAAATGGTATCGGTGATAATTGTAATAATCTTCATCCAGTTACATTATTAGATTTGACCACAACATCGACAACGAACATTGGGCCACCACCACAGCAACAATCATCATCTTCATCACCATTTCATGATCATTGTTTAGGATCATTGTTAGGTAATAATAATATAAATAGTTCAAGGATAAATTCTACAACAGCTGCATCATATCATTGTGGTACATTGCCCATAAATTCTAACCATCATTCAACATTGTACAAACAAATTGTTGGTGAAAACAACATCGATAGTAGTATAAATGGATCACCTAAACAACAACATTGCCAACAAACTCATCCACTAAGTGTGATTATAAAAAATCCTTTAATGGAACATTTAAGTAGTAGTCAATCTCCTTCATCGATTGATTCATTACCATCACAGCCACCTCCAATGTATCATACGGTTTATGCTTCCGAAACAACAACATCGGCTGATTCTCCATTCTTCTCGATACATCCTTGTCAAACACGATCTAATTCGAACACTGATACCGCCACTCCATTACATTTACTTATGGATGTTTCATCATATTATCAACATAGTACGGATAAAATTTCGAATCATTCATCAAGCCACACCGCACTAATACCATCAAATTATCATCATAGTCAACCGAATACAATTGGTTCAATGACATGGAGTCAAGCTGAAACATTACCATTAGGTGGTGGATCCGGGAGCAGCCGGAATGGTATCGATTCTCATATCGGTGGCTTTCTATCACCAACATCACCAATTTCAACATTATCGGTGCCTTTTACATTGCAACAACACCAACAACAACATTCACAACTTTTAGGATCAACAATGATAATGGAAGAGGAAAAATTCTTGTGAATCTTCTCATAATCAACCAATAACATCAGAAACACAGGAAACATCAACAACCGTATAAATAAAATTCGTGATCATTGATGAATTTAATGCTCAGCCAAACTGTAAATACGATGTGTAGAAATTTGAAAATTGTTAATAATTTTTAATTTTACCTGTGTTCTGTTTACCTCTCCTCTGTATCATAATGTTTTCTTTTTCTCTTGTTTTGTTCAATTTATTTATCGAATTAATAAAATATAAAAACATAATAATCATCGATGATGCAAAATCAATAACAAGTTTTTTTAATTTATTTAAAAGTTAGATATCAAAAAAAGAAAAATTAATCAATTCATGAATTATTATCGTTCTTTGGTTGTTGTTGTTGTTGTTGTTGTTGCTGCTGCTGTAATGATGGTTGTAGTGATGGAACAACTATACCATTTCTAGCAGCAGCGGCGGCAGCCATACGTTGTTGTTGTTGATTAATATTCCATAATTGTGGATGTTTTTTCCGCTGATGTTTAAACATTTTCCAACGTTCAACAAACGAACGACCACAACCATCCATTTGACATGTCCATGGTTTTTCATCTCTATGTGTCATTTCATGATATTTAAGACTATGTTTCTGTATGAAAGATCGATTACAATTTGGCCATGTACAATAAAATTTCTCTTCAATCGATGTATGTCGTTTTCGATGTCTTGCCAGATGACCAGATTGTGAGAATCGTGATTCACAACCAGGCCAATCACAAACATATGGTTTTTCACCTGTATGAACAACGGTATGAACTTTAAGTTTATATTTTTCTTTAAATGCTGCTGTACAACCGGCATATGAACATCGAAATGGTCGTGTTACATTATGTATGCTACGAAGATGATTGATTAGGTTTGAACAAACGCCTGTTTTATAATTACAACCATTGAATTCACAACGAAAATTTGTAGACGAAGACGATGAATTATTTTCAACCGTAAAAATATGATTTGTTGCATTGCCACCACTACCATTGCCGCTGTCGCCAACCGAATTATCACCACCACCATTACAAATGGAATCAGTTTTCGTTGATGTAACATTCAAAACGGTCAATTCTTGTTTTTCAATTGTTGATGAGGTAGTGGTAGCTTGTGCATTCGAAGACTGCGGTGATGTCATTACTACAGTGGATAGATCATCATTACGTTGATGAAGACGAGCTATATTAGAACGAATAGAATCTTGAACCAATCTTTTTTCATTATCAACGATATCATCATCATCGTCATCATCGAATATACTTTCCAAATTTTCAATGGTTGTTGTTGTAGCATTATTCACATTAGAGACGGAAGAAAGATTTGCTAATGAAATTCCATTGCTATTATCAACATTGGAATTAGTGGAAGATAATGCTGTTGTTGCATGTTTTGATGACGATGATGAGGACGTGGATGATGATGATGATGATGAACGGATAGGTGATTGAATAGTGACAACGACCATATCACCAGCTGATGTTGGCGTAGACACTACTGATTGATTTCCAATTATCGAATTATCATGAAGATTTATTGTACTTGATAACAATTTGCTTTTACGTTTATGAGCTACTATTGAAGGAATTGCGGCATGATTGTTAATGATTGTTGGCGATATATTCGATGTATGATTATTATTCGATGATGTTGATGATGATGATGATGATGATCGAGATATTTGTAGATTTTGATGATGTGGATTATTATGAATCACAGTCATTGTTTGATGATCAGTATGATGTTGTTTCGTAGTATTGTTCGATGGATGAACAAAATTGATTCTTTCAGCTGTATCGTTGTTGTTTGTTGATTGATTTGTTGTCTGTGATACTGGTGATGGTTGCGATTGATTATTATTAAATTCTATGGAAGCATTTGTAGGATTAATCATTATCTGTCCATTCGTTGAATTAGCGGTTGTCGCTGAATTAGTTGAACCATTATCATTGACAATCACTAGAAATATAAAATAATTAATGGAATTTGTAATCATTATATGATAGCATTCTTACAACTTATTGGATGATGAAGACCAACAATACGATGTTGATCAATATGATCAATAATTTTCACTATAGAAGTAGATGTTGATTCTACTACAGTTGTCGATGTTGTTGTTGTATTATCATTAGATGGTCGAATCATCGAAACGGAATCATCATTCGTAACAAACGTTGTTGTTGTATTTGCTGATGGTTGTTGTTGATTGAATTGAAATTGTTCAATTTGATTCGTTATATGTTGTTGGTGTTGATGACTAGATGATGCTGCTGGTGATGATGATACATTGGAATTTCGGCCATTTAGAATGCTTGATATTGGAATTGTTCTCGCTGAAAAATAATGAAAAACAATTAATGAAATTGATATACAAAGGAAAAACAAAACGTACCTTGATGTATGATATGAGGTATTGTCGAAGCAACAGAAGAAATGGCAGTCATCTGCTGCTGCTGCTGTTGTTGTTGTTGCAGTTGATCCAATTTAATCGTTGAAATAGGAGCAGCAGCAGTAACATTAGATTCTGAATTTAATTGAATAGAATTAAAATTATGATTTAATAAAATTTGCTGATTCGATGATGATGACGATGGTTGTTGAAGAGCCAGATGAATTTGTTGTTGTTGTTGAACTGAATTATTGTTGTTGTTATGAATAATATCCGATGACTGTACCACCGAAGATAATTTAAGGAGATCATTAATTGGTTTGATTGATTGATGAAGATGATGCTGTTGATGATTATGTGAATGTTGTTGTTGTTGTTGTTGCTGCTGCTGCTGTTGATTCGATGGTGATGATCGTAATAATCTTTCAACAGTGGTCATATTTTTTGGTTCAATTACAATATTCGCAACATCTGATGATGATGTTGATGATATTGGAATGAATTGTGATGGTGATTTATTAATCAATTCCAATACTGTTGTCGCTGTTTGATTTGATGAATTTGAATATGGCTGATTTTGTTGATGGTGTACCAATGAATTAATTAAAGGTTGTTGTGGTTGTTGTTGTTGTTGATAATTCATAATATTCGAATGTTGTTGCTGTTGATGGTGATGATGATGAATAGTATTCGAATGTTGTTGTTGTTGTTGCTGCTGCTGCTGTGGCTGATGATGGACATTTTGATGTTGAATATTCTGTTGTTGTTGTTGTTGTTGCTGCTGCTGTGGATGAATAATATTATCGGAAATAAATATTTTATATTCACGTTCCAATTCATTTAATTCACAATGATAATCAAGATTACAACGACAATTACAATTGAATACAAATTTATTTATAAATGTACGATAACGTTCTAATAATGGAAATAATTTCTGTATAAAACGTATCTCATCATTTATTATGATATTTGAATTTGTATTTACATGGCCAACACCTCCATTCATAATCAATAAATTAGAATTGTCTAATTGTTGTTGTTGTTGTTGTTGATGTTGTGAATAAATCATCTGTTTTGTAATTTGTTGTTGATGATTATTATTACTGTTGATAACTTGTTGTGAATGAGCAATCGAATTTTGATTATTGATTAATAAATGCTGTTGTTGTTGTTGTTGTTGAGATGATGCTGAAGATGTTGTTGATGATGATGGAGGTATTTGTGGTGATGGTGGTGTTTGTTTTGTATTCAAAAGCATCATCATTGTTGATGTTGTTGTTGATGCCGTTCCAAGTTGATAAATCGTTGAATTTATATTTAAAAAAAAATTTCGAATGAAAATTAGCACCTTAATTCGAAATTCAAATATAAATCAATTATAGATTATTTCATTCGATATAAATCCAAAAAAGAAGATATGCAAAAACTCGAATTTTTTTTCTTTTTACAAACAAAATATTCTTCATGGATTCTGATGGATTCGATTGATTATCCAAACGCATTAACATTATATTTCTTCATGGTGTTGATATAAATCAGATGTTTATTAAATTTAAAGTTTTTCAAAAAAAAAAACAAAAACAAAATTGATTGAAATTCAATTCGAATGAAATTGTAAACACACACACACACAACACAACACCTTGACTGTTGTTATTGATGATGATGATGCTGTCGATCTGTCCTCAAAAATTTTCTATTTCCACCTTTATGGCTAAACCTATATTTATGTGTACATGAAAATGGCGCAAAAAAAAAACATTTTGAATTCATTGATTTTTTTGTTGTTGAATTTTTTTATTTCTATTTTAAAAAAAAGTAAATAGAAATTATCAGGTCAGATTAATAATAATGTTTCAGTGGTACCAGATATTTTACCAATCATTTTCTGTTAATGCTGTGAATTTTCATTTCAATGGCTGTGTGCTACAGCATGACAAATGTCTGTTTTCATATCATGGTTCTATATACCGCCAACAATGATGGAATTCAATAAAAAAACCGTCGACAATTTGGCAATCGTCATACACACCTTATAGGGTGTGTGTGTGTGTGTTATTTTTGTTTCATATAAATACAACCGAACAAATGGTCTGTCATGTTCATTGCATGTCTAGCTACAAACCAAAACGGTTGAAAAATAATTTCGTTCGAGCTTATTCCATTCATTCATTCATGTCCGATTTTTTTTTCGAATAAAAAAAAAATTATTGTGAAATGTTTGTCGTCATACAAATATTTTCATCATGTTCGGACAAAATCATAATCAAATTATTATTAATATTCAACAATCATTTTTAATGATAATTTTATTTTTTTCATTATTTCCACTTCATGGTAAGTTTTTTCATTTCATATAATTATCATTTGCATTTTCCATCTCCTTCCACAAACACACAAAAACAAAAACAAAAAAACACCCATATTGAATTTGTCAACACAACACAACACTTGATGACAATTTCTTTTTTTTTATATTTCAATTCCGTCATTTCCATTGGAATTGTTTGTTTATATAAAATATATTGTGCATATGTCAAACTGTGACAGAATCATATCCAGAGGTAATACAGACAGGTTTTCATTATATACAGAATTATAATTCTAATACCTTGACAAGTGAAAAAAAAACAATTTCCATTTAGATGTATGGTAAATGAAATACCCAATACCCACACACACACATACACACATTAGATCCATTGAATTATAATGATGATGGAGTAAAAAAAAAACTTAATGAATTGAATCGGTCCACACTCACTGGTCATCATCTGGATCAATGAATCAATGAGGTTCACCTTTCATTTATTTATTCTTGATATTTACTTTATACATCTTTCCATCAATGAAAAAAAAGGCCAAGCATTTAATTGGAATCGACAACGACAACAACAAAAAATGTTTTCATTCACCATCTATCTATCTATTGGTTCAATTATATTTTTCACATTGGAAAATGAAAGTGAAACCCACACACACACACATATAATAGAACAAACAAATGTACCAGAAACGATGAAAAATGTTATCGTTCGTTTCTTTTCGTTTTTGTCAATTTCAAATGTTTTTTTTTCTCGCTTCATTGATTCATTTTTAGACAAACCAACCAACCAACCAACAATGATGTTGATGATAAAATTGCCAAATATCATATTGATTCGCATTTTCAAAGGTTTTCATCAACCAAAATGAAAAATATACAATAATGAATCCATTGCCAAAAAAACGATGATGATGATGATGATTCTATTTCAATCCAATGTTGTTAATTAGCTAACCTTTCCATAGAGTAATCAATAGGTATTCTAATGTTGACGATAACTTTTTTTTTCTCAAATCTTCGTACGTCCATGAATCTTTCATGAATTCTGCACGCACGCGCTCACACATACACACGGCATCTGTTTGAATTCTCTTGCGTTTTTTTTCCACTTTCCATTTATTTTTTATTTTTATTTTCAATATTCAACATTAGCAATTATTTTCAAATCAAAATCTGATAGTGAAATTTCAACGATGATGATGATTTGTTCCATTGATTTGATGCAAAAACTTGAAACAGTAAATTTGTCATCGTTTTTTTTTTTGGATGACACATTTTTGTCTATATGAGTCATCAGCTGGTAAATATTCTCAGGGATTCTTGAATTTTTCAAACAGCAAAAAAAAAACTCGTTCCTTATATTTTGTTGAAATTCATAAATGATGATGATTCGTTTGAATGAATGAATGTAAAAGTCACATACACTAATGGACATTCAATGTCAGAATTTTTTTATTTTTTGGATTAAATTTCCAATGACAGATGTTCACACCATTATTTTGTTGAAAAGATTTTTTTTTCACTTTTTTTTTCTTTATGCCATTCATTTAGCAATTGAATGTGTAAAAATCATTCAATCATCCATACCGCGAATGATTGATGCAAGAAATAACACCATTTTAACATTAGATTGTTCATATAGTTATGATTCTGGTGATGTTAAATTAGTCATCCGTTGGTTTCATAATGATTCACCGGAACCAATCTATCAATGGATACCGGAATCAAATATACGTTATGTTGGACAATTAATACGGCCATATTTTGATATGAATTTCACTATAAATGATGATCAATATTCAAAATATCGTGCATTACGTTTAAATATCATATCATTACGACAAGAACAATCGATGATTGTGGTACCATTATCATTATCGGGTAATTATTCATGTGTAATATCATCGATTGCCAATCAGGATAGCCGTCAAAGTCAAATGATAATTTATGGTTCGTGTCTGTTTGAATTTATGGATGTAATTTTTCTATAATAATCAATTTTTTTTTATTTCAGTGCCTCCAAGTTTATTTCAATTTCATTTTGTTGAATCAAGTGCCGATCAATTTGCATTAGAATGTTTAGTACAAGATGTTTATCCAGAACCAAGAATGATATTCATACAGCAAAAAAATTATTCAGAATTATCATCACCATCATCGATAAATGTTACTACGATAAATAATTGTCAAAATGAAATTGTCAATCATCATCATCATCATTGTCTATATAGTGCATGGTTTCGACGACCAATCGATACGATATTAATGGCTGGTACAATTTATGAATGTCGTATACAACTTTATGGTACATTATATGTGCGGAAAAAACGAATAAAAATCATATTTCCAACAAGTAAGTTTTTTTTTCATGTCCATCATCATTGAATTTTCATTGTATTTTTGTTGTTGTTGTTAATGAGATTTAGAGAAAAAGTTAGAGACGGATGTTGGTGGATATATAATGGTAAATTAGCATTCGTGCCATTTTTTTTTTTTTTTTTTTGGCAACCACGCCAAACGCACACGGACTGTGTGTGTGTGTGTGTGTGCGTATATATGCATTAGGACTAATTGATTTATGACGACGATATTATTAACTTTGGCCACCATCAATGATCATCATCAGTAGGTGTTGATCATTATACTATTCACTTTTTTTCTCTCTCTCTCTAATTGTCACATTTAACAACATAACACCAGAACTGAAATCAAATGGACACACCCTTTTGATTGAAAATTCTATCTCTGTCTTTTTCTGTCCATGAATTGATTCTTCATTTGTTCATTCCATTCATTCATTCATTTATTTTTTTCGCCTTGATTTCGTGATACAAGACAATCTACGATGATTCTAATGATCATCATCATCATCATCATCATAATAGCTATGATTGATTTCAAGCTCTGTTCATTTAATATATGGCCAAAAATTTGATTTGCACTATTGATTTTAGGAATCGAAAATGAACAAAATTCAATCATACAAGATTATAATTATCTAAATTAAAATTAATATATATCGATATCAATTAGTGATAGAAAAAAAACATGAATAATTTTGCTGTGTGTGTGTGTATAAATATACAATGTATATGAAAAATGTCTTTTTGCGTGTCGTTTTTTTTTTTGATATTCACCACCCAACTAATGGCAGCTTTATAGGTTTATGATCATCAATTTGTTGATGTTTTTTTTTTATTTATTTATATTGATTTTGTTTTGTTTTTTTTTTTTTTTTCACTCACATACACATGTGTACAGATTATGATCGAAAATCCAATCAGATTCAAATGTCGAATGAAAACAACCAATCATCATCATCATCATCATCAAAGATGCTGTTGTTCAATTTCATCACTGTCATCATCATCACCATCATCATTGTTTATAATTTTACATTCCATTATATTTATGGTTAAAAAAAATTAAACAAAAAATTTTTTTCGAATCGATTGAAATTCGAAAAAAAATTCTTTGCATGTTGCACCCATTTTAGTTCAGATTCCGGTCACTGTGTGGCGCTTATTGTGTTGTGTTTGATGGGAAAAAAATTTTTTTTTGTTTCAATCACAATTTATCGATAAGGATGGCCATCATCCAAAGCATCACCATAAAAAGGAAATTGTTCCAATCAATTGATTGATTCTAGAAAGAATAATTCTAGAGAGAATAATTTCTGATTAATACAAACAATACAAAGCAAACAAACAGGTAAGACCTATTTGTTGTTGTTAACCTATTTTTTTTCTTCTTTCTCTACCTTTACAAGCTTATTTTTTTTTATTCTATAAATTGGTTACATTAAAAGCCTCTATATACAACAATCAGATGATGTTTAATGTTCAAAAAAATGTCATTATCATTAAAATATGAATGAATAACAACAACAACAACAACAACAGTAGTGATTTCGATGAAATAGTCCATTTATGATCATCGAATTCTTTGTTAATTCTCTTTTTTTTTGGATTCTGGTCATTATCCATTCATTTTGGGTCGATAAGTGTCGTTTATTTTATATCGGATATTATTCAATTTATAATGCAATTTTTGTTTTTCTTTTGGTCCAAAAAAAAAAAAAATAATTTCTTTTTTTCTATTCCTTAGTCTTCATGATTTCCTTTTTTTTCATTGATCAATGAGAAACGTGAAGAAGTAAAAAAAAAGATCGATATATAGAGGAAACAAAAAAAAAAGAAACTACCAATGTTTTCATTATAGACAATTAGGGAATACTATGGCTGTGCTAGTTATTTTTTTTACTAGATAAGCTAGTCATCATCATTATTATCAATGTGGAATTTGATTTCCATTTCCATTTCCATTTGTAATCACTAATTTTGTCAGAATTTTCTCATTTTCAAAGCTAAGAATCATTTGATTCTTGGAAATTCTTCTTCTATGTATTTGTTATATATAACTATACTAAGATTTCTTTCTTTCTTTCTTGCTGCTTATTTTTTTTTTTTTTGTTTTGTTTTCTCAATCATCAACAACAGCAATATTTATTTACAGTATTCTTAACATATCACATTACATTCATGTCAAATTGTTGTTGTTGTTGTTGTTGTTGTTGTGGTTTGTGAAAATCATCAATCGATGTTGTTGTTGTTGTCGTTATTTGACCGAATTCAATTGATAGATAAGACAATTTTTCCGGACTGCAAAACTATCGATGAATCTATTAAAGAATTAGCAAAAAACGAATGAATGAAATTGATATCTGATACCAATGGCAATTCTATATTTAGACTATATGCTGTTATTTTCATTGTTTCCAATATTAATAATTAGCTAATGCTAATTATTCCGTAATATGTAAATGATGTCATGAATGATTCCAAAAGAATTTAATTAATTTCATGGTGGTTTGATTCTAATCATTTTGATCACGTAAAGCTAACACCTACACACGGTTCTTTAGTTCGATTACATCATTCACCAATGACCAAATGGACAACTGGATAATATTTTTTTTTTGTCACTTATTTTTAGCCAAATTCATTCAATGATTCAAAATTTTTTTTTTTTTTTGCTTCAATCATTGTGAAATGAGTTGGAAAATATTTGTCAGGAATGTTGGCGATGCTTCTCTGGTGTGTGTGTGTGTGTGTGCAACCAATGGACCAAAAAAACTAATGTCAAACCAATAGATAAGCTTGATGATGATTTCAAGTATGTAACTTGTACAAACAAACAAACAAACAAACAAACAAAAATTTTTTTCTCATGATAAGAATTTTTTTTTCATCGTGTTCACAATGGAATTTTTTTTTCTTCTTGCAAATTGTGTTCATTTATACAGAACCTGTCAGAATTTGCCTAATATCACTTTATACTACTAGTAGTAGGTATTATTATTCGGCAAATTTTTTTTTACGTTTTTTTTCTTACGGTAATAGTGATATCCATTTAATTTTGTCTGTAAAAAAAAACATCGTTGGATCGACATGCATTGCAACATACATTTAGAATAAATAAAGTGTACATACACACACACACAGAGAGAGAGAGAGAGAGAGAGAGACAGACACACACGCAAATCTATGATCATCCGTAGTTGAAAATAGTATAAATAGGCCTGCTAAATGAAACAGAATCAGACAATGACGATAAAAAGGCATGCCCAAGCATCTTCAATGCCATTTGGTGGCCAGTCAATGTAGTTCGGTCAATCAGAATTGATCTTCATTCAGTAATGTTTCATATGCATCAAAGTGTGTTGGTGTGTGTGTGTCTGTGTGTGCAGCAATCAATACTACGTGCTATTTCATCATATTTATTGTACGTTGTGTTGAATTTTTCATGATTCTTGATGTTTATAAAAAATAAATACTAATCGATCAAATTTATAGTTTTGTTTCATGATAGAAAATTGATTTTTTTTCTATAGAAAAAAAAATCATTTTTTTCGTAATTCAAATTCTTTAAAATTCATACATCTTACACAAGAGGGAGCCACATTATGGACTTTTATGACCACTTTAGTGCCATCTATTGTAGAAGAGAAATAAACTAAAAAAATTCGAATTTTTGTTTTTCGACAGAAAAATCGAAAAAATTCTCCCAAATTCATCATGTTGTTTATTTCGACAATCTCCGTTTGGTTATTGGCCACTTTAATATCAATCGAATGCAGTAAGTTTGTTTTTTATATCTCTTCATTATCAATTACTGAATAATGAAATTTTTCTGGCTTCTTTCAAAGATAAAAGACCAAAACTTGTCGATCTACCGATTGAAAGTCAATCAATGTTAAACATATCTCATGTGATATTGTGTAATTTATTACAAGGAACACAACCAGTTCATTTTGAATGGACCAAAAATGGCCAAATAATCGATCCCGATCATACTAAAGCAACGAATTGGAAAATAGATTCGACGGATAATTTTTCTATGCTCACCATACCACGTTTGGATCAATATGATTCAGCTATTTATAAATGTATTGCGCGTAATGCATATGGATATGATTCAACCACAACTAAGCTACGTGTTCAAGGTAAATAATTCATAATGATGATGATAGTGGTGGTGTCAGGATACGCCAGGTGGCGTTTAAATCTCAACGTTGATTTTAGCAATTTTTTATTTATCCAAAACGATCGTTATTCGATCATTCTTTTCCATCAAGTTTGTGTTGTTTTGTTCACTCTGTTTCAATCAATCCCATTCGATATGTTGATTTTACTGAAAATTTTTTTCGGAATTTGTTTGTTTTTCTGGCCATTGAATCAGGCCAATTCAGCTGATGCAGGTATATTGATATTATCTGTTACATTGATTGCTAATGGAATCCATTTCAGAGAAACCTATTCTGCAGAAACTTGCTGAATCAGTTGTGCTAGTTGCTAATCGAACACATGTGATTTTTTGCACAATGATTAGCGGTAGTCAACCTGTGTTTTTTGAATGGACAAAAAATGGCGAAAAAATATCCAAATCTGATCAATACAAATTAGTGATCGAAGAAAGTTTCTCGGCACTTACACTGAAAAGATTAAATGCCGATGATTCCGCAACTTATACATGTTTGGTTAAAAATGCATTCGGCCAGGATCAAACATCGACTAGACTTCTGATCAAAGGTATCTGTATTTTTGGCCAAAATATGGCGCTCCAATCTTGATTTGATTTGAATTCCAATTTCTTTCTCGTGTGGCCATGGATTCTGAATTTATTTATCCATCGGTCTATTTCATTCCTGAGCGGTGAGAATGTTGTTTTTTGTTTGAAAAATGATTATCCAGTCAATTTGTTTGTTAATTTTATCAAAATTTGTTCATTCTGGTGGTATGTTGGTTTCAATTGAATCAGATTGATTATTGTTGATGGATTGATGACATCTGAATTTTCCAATTTCAGTGGCTCCCAAAGTGACAAGATTTCATAATGAAATTATTCAACCAAAAGATTCATCTTTTGTTCTGAATTGTGCTGCATATATTGGATCTCACCCGTTACGATTTCGATGGATGAAGAATGGTTTAACCATTGATAAACAATCGATGCACTTAGATCGAATTCAAATTGAAACAAAACACGATTATTCTTTTCTTAAAATATCAAATATTGAATTGAATGATTCGGGCAATTATTCTTGTACGGTTATCAATGATGATGGATTCGATGCACAATGGTCATTACTTCAAGTTCAAGGTTTGAAATTAACTAAAAAAAATTTTCTGTTCTTAATTTCCACCAAAACGTGGCGCTAATTTTGTTTCAAAATCTTGGTTTTGAAATTTGCCTTTTGATTGCGATCAAAATGCTGGCTTAAGACTTTACATTTGTTCTGATCACACGAAATTCATTCAGAATGTTGAATTTGGTTTTCAAATTTTTTGTTTTGTTTATCTGGATTTTATTGCAGATTTTATCTGTTCACAGTGATGGTAAGTCTATTTGTCAATCATTTTCAACTTCAATCAATTTAATTTTTTGTCTTTTCGAATCTAGAATCTCCAGTTCTTGCTAAACTTTATTCGAAAAATGAACAAACCAAAGGTTCAGATATTGTGTTGACTTGTAATGTTGCCAAAGGCAGTAAACCATTTCGGTTCCAATGGTTTAAAAATGGTGTTGAATTATCCAATACTGGACAATCGACAATCGAAACTAAAGACATTTTTTCCCTCTACACATTAAGAAATATTGATTCAAATGATCGTGGAAATTATTCCTGTGTTGTCACCAATAAATTCGGTTTCGATAAACTTTGGATTCAACTAACCGTCACAGGTTTGAATAATTTTTTTCAATGTTTTTTGTGGGCCAAAAGGTAGCGCTAATATTGCCATAATCCACTGGCGATTTTCAAAATTTTTTCGATTGAAATGGTTTGATTGAACGATTGTTTTTCTTGTTGTTGAACATGAGTTGTTGTTGTTGAACGTCATGGCTATGATGATTTTATTATTGGTGATTTTTTCAATTTTCCATTTTCATTCAGTCGATGCTGGTAATTTAGTGAGACTTGTCTGGAATTGTTTTTCTTTAATAACTATTTTTGATTTTAGCAAAGCCCAATTTGAATAAATTTCCTGCATCCGAAATCAAACTTTGGGTCGATGCATCATACATATTACCGTGTTCCATTTTATCTGGATCAAAACCAATATTCTTCGAATGGTACAAAGATGATCATAAGAAACTATCGTCGACCGAGTACAAAATCGATAATCATGATACGAATGTCAACACTTGCATTCAAAAGTTTGAATCCAAACGATACAGGCAGCTATACCTGTAATGCCAGAAATGTTCATGGATCCGACTCGATTACAACAAAACTTGTCATACAAGGTTTGCTTTTAATTTAATCATCATGGTGTACAATTAGGGTCAAGATTTGAAACTAATAATTTCCACCAAAATGTGGCGCTAAATATTGAAATTTTGATTTTGATTTTCCCGTCGAAAATGTTTTTTTTCGATTGTTTTATTCACATTCAATGTTTGATCACACGAAATTTGCTTGTGAAAATGTTGAATTTGATTTTCAAGTTTTTCGCTTTGATCATTTTGATTTCATCTGCTAACAGTGATGGTAAGTCTATTTGTTCATGTATTTTAAGCTTGAATTAATTCATTTTTTCAATTCTAGAATCTCCGATTCTCGTTAAAGTTTATTCACAAAATCAACATGAACAAACCAAAGGTTCAGACCTTGTGTTGACTTGTAATGTTGCCAAAGGCAGTAAACCATTACGGTTCCAATGGTTCAAGAATGGTGTTGAAGTATTCAATACTGGACGATCGACAATTGAAAACAAAGATATTTTCTCTTTTTTTACATTGAGAAATATCGATTCCAATGATGTGGGAAATTATTCTTGTGTTGTTACGAATAAATTCGGATTCGATAAACTGTGGATTCAACTAACCGTCACAGGTTTGAACAATTTATTCAATGTTTTTTATCTGCCAATATATGGCGCTAATTCTTTCATTTTGAGTGTCATAAATTTTTTTTTGCATAAAACAATTCAAAAAAAATCAATGGCAATTCTTTTGCAATTTCACATCCATCGGTTTATTTGTCTCTTCTGTTGATTTTCGTGTTTGTGTTTTAAAAATGTTTTGGCCATTCATTTTGGTTGTTTTTGATTTGTTGTTAGCGAATCAAAACTTTGTAATCGCTAATGGTAAGCTTTTCAGTTATTTTAAATTGATTTTGTGTGACTTTTCCAACTTTTCCCCGTAAAAAATAGATGCTCCTCGTTTGGTTGAATTTAAAAATTTATACTCACAACCCATGAATTCTCGATTCGTTGTGAATTGTAACTCTTTCAGTGGAGTAGCGCCATTGAAATTTTTTTGGACGAAAAATGGCCACTCCATTCCCCAATCGTCGGATTCACGAATCAAAATTGATGTTGATGATGATTTTTCAACGATCACCATCAAAAATATTAAAATTGATGATGCAGGAAATTACTCCTGTACCGTACAAAATCGTTTCGGTATCGATTCACAATGGTCGATGCTTCAAGTTAAAGGTGACTACTACAAGAAATAGTCATAAATTTGAACAAAACGTGTCGCTAGATTTGTTGTTGAAAAGAAATACTGTTTTACTGTGTTTCATTCGTTATTTCATTGCAAAAAAAAATCTATTGTGAATCATCGGAGGTGTTTTTTACCAATTTTTCGATAATGTTTCGAATATTTATTTTGTTCAGCTTTTTCATCTCGCGTGGACTTGCTCAAGGTAATGTTCATTTTCGATTAATGAATTTTCGAAACTTGAAATTAATTTTTTTCCAATTTTAAAATTTTGTAGATCCACCTAAAATCAATAAAAATGTCATCGTTGATGTTGAACCGATTGCAAATACGTTTCAACTGTTGAGCTGTAGTATCATTTCTGGTTCTGAACCCGTATTTTTCACCTGGCTTAAAGATGAACAACCACTTCGTGAAACCAGCAATTTGAAAATTGAAATTAATCAACAATTTTCGTTTTTAAAAATTCAAACAACCAACAGAAATGATTCTGGCCGTTATGCATGCCAAGTCCGTAATGCTTACGGAACTGATAGCATGATTTTTCGACTGAATGTAAAAGGTTCATTTTTTCTGTTTCATTGAGTTTTTATTCGTGGTTAAAAGTTGGCGCTATCTGCTTGAATTTGTCGATTTTTTCACACTAATTTTTCTCGTGTTTGTCATCATTGTGTTTCATTCGTTTGAATCCATTCCAGTAGTGTTGTTCAAAATGTTGTTTTCAGCTATTTTCTTGTGTTTTACCTTAAATTTCGTCATCGCAGGTTTGTTGATATTTATTTTTCATTAAAAAAAATTTCTAAACTCTTTTTCTCTCTCATTAGATGAACCCAAATTGGTTCCACTACAAAAACGTTTGGAACTTGTGGATAAATCTACTTTTAGTGCACTCTGCAGTTTAGCATCTGGTTCTTCGGTGTTTTTTGAATGGATGAAAGATGGTCATAAATTATCGACAAATACGAATATTCGTATCGATAATACTGATGATTATTCATTACTATCGATCAAAAATTTAGCCATCACTGATTCGGGGATTTATGAATGTATCGCAAAAATCCTCATGGAAGTACATCGACATCCACACAACTTGTAATCAAAGGTTGAAGAATGTTTTCGATCATTTTGAAATATTTACGTTTTTGGTTAAAAGTTGGCGCTAGATTTGTTGGTCATTGTGGATAAATTTTTTTTGTTGTTTTTATTGTTGTAGCTTAAATTCCAAATTCATTTAGTTCAGTCAGGTTGTTGTTCAAGTTTTGTTCACAAATTATCCAATGATAAAATGCATCTTTTCAATCTTTTTGTGCAAATTCTTTCCGTTAGTCACGCTTTATCGATTGTCTTTGCAGGTATTTTCGAATGGTGAACATTTCAATTTTCCATTTTAAATTTTTTTTTTTTTCAGACGAACCAAAATTAGTACCACTTCAAAAAATTGTTGAACTTTTGGAAAATTCAACATACGTATTGACTTGTAATCTATTTTCCGGTGCTAAACCAATTTTTTTTGAATGGAATAAAAATGGTCAAAAATTTTCCGGAACAACGAATGTTCGTATGGAAAATACAAATCATTATTCATTACTAACGATGACCAGTCTGACTGCCGCTGATTCGGCCACATATGAATGTATTGCTAAAAACGCATATGGAACTGCATCGACATCCACACAATTTGTTATAAAAGGTTTGACGGAGAAAAAAATCATATCGATGAAACTATGTTGAGTTCATGGTTAAAAGTCGGCGCTATTGTTGCTTATTTTGAATTTATCTGGCTATTCCAATTTCTACATTTTCGGTAGTAAATTTTCAGTCTTTGAAATCTTTCAATCATAACACATGTTTATCGTTGAATGACGAAAATGTTTTTCTTGAAATTTTTCACATTTTTCTCCATAATTTCGATCGCCATTTCTGGTCCGCCGAAATTGATGCCATTTAATGGTGATCTACATGAATTGATTGAAAATATAACCTATCCATTAACGTGTATGTTGATAAGTGGTTCTAAACCAATTTTTTTCGATTGGTATCGAAATGGCGAAAAAGTTATGGAACAATTAAATCTAAAAATTGATAATCAAGATCGAATCTCACAGCTTTCTCTATCAAATGTTCAAACAAGTGATAGTGGGAAATATGAATGTCATGCGAAAAATCAATATGGTCAAGATTCGATTGCCACCAATATTTTGGTTAAAGGTTTGGTTTGATTTGATCATTTGTTCCTCACTCAAATCGTGGCGCTATTGTTGGGAAAATTTTTATTTATCTTTTAAAACCTAACAATGATGACAAATACATTCTTGACCATTGAAATATTTCACTGTTGACAAACATGTTTTCATTGCGAAACATTTGGGTTTTTTTACTAATTTCAATTTCTCACCAGAATCCTGTTGTAAAGCCTTTATTGAATTCATGGAACTCTTTTCAAACACAAATACAAGGCTCTCGTTTCTTTTTGAATTGTCTGGCTATTCTCGGTGATTCACCATATTCATTTAATTGGATGAAAAATGGCCGTGAAATCCATGAAAACGACCATGTGCATATCCGAAAAGATAATCTCATGTCTACTTTATTGATTGAAAATCTAACATCTGATGATTCGGGAAATTATACTTGTTCAGTCCATAATCAAGGCGGTTTTGACAGCCAAAGTTCATATCTGAGTGTTCAAGGTGTCTAATGATCAAGAACAGTGCCACGATTGCATTTCAAATGTTTTGTTGTCGAGATTAACTAACATTTTTCAAATTATCAATTTGAATTTATTTTTTCCAGTTCCACCTAGCTGGATCAAAGAGCCGAAAGACGTGAATCTGCGTATGGGTGAAGAATATTCCGTGGAATGTTTGGCCGATGGTCTACCGAAACCGAAAATCAAATGGATTACACCGTCAGGTAAAACGATCGAAAATGAAATTCTGGATCTGAGTAAATTGATCAAAAATGAAAAAAATGGTCGACAAACATTGACATTCGAATGTGTGGCTGATAATGGCATCGGTGAGGCATTACGGAAAAGTATCACCATCTCTTATAATGGTAAGCGAATTCGTCCAAAGATTTTCAGTGATTTTAATTGATGATTTAAAGTACCGGCGAGATTTGATGAAAAATACAGTTCATTACAAGCGAAAAAAGGTGATATAATTGTCATGAAATGTAACGCTACCGGTGATCGACCGATCACAATACGTTGGACAAAAGATGGAATTAAATTGGACCGGTTGAGTCATCATTATGAAATGACGGATTTCTCCACCAGTCAAGGTGTCATTTCTGAACTATCTATTCGACCTGTGCAGAAAAGTGATGGCGCAATATATAAATGTGACGCTGAAAATGAGCATGGTCGTGATGATCGAACCATAAAATTGTCAGTGGTAGAAGAACCAAGCTCACCGGTTAACGTTAAAATCAATGAAGTATGGTCACGTTCAGCCAGTGTTTCATGGCGTCATCCTCAGAACGGTAATTCACCTGTCACCCGATATCTGATACATTATTGGCGTCGACAAAGTGCTCCGCATCGATTGCATGAAGTAAATGTTAGCAGTTCGCAGACATCGTATTTGATCAAAAATCTCAATCCTGGATTGTCCTATGAGTTGTCCGTTATTGCCGAAAACGAGGTTGGACGTAGTCAACCATCGGAAACGGTGCCATTTTTTACTGGTGAAGAGGAACCAAGTGCACCACCGAATGATATAAATGTCGAACCAAAAGGACCGACTACGATTCGGATTACATGGCGTGCACCACCAAAAGAATTCTGGAATGGCCTGATCAAAGGTTATTATGTTGGTTTTCGAAAAGCCGACGATACAAATACAGCTTATACATTGAAATCCATTGATTCCAAATACACGGAAGCCAATCAAATCGAAAGTGAAGTTTATGAATATTTTCTACGCGACCTATCGCGTGGTACGGAGTATGAAATCGTTATCAAAGCCTATAATATGGCCGGTAGTGGACCACAATCTCATGTATTGCTGGCACGTACACTTGATGGTGATCTACCACCTGCACAACACCTAATTGCAACGGAAACGACGACAAATTCAATTTCATTACGATGGCATCAACGAGATAATCGGGATTCGATCAGCTCAATCATCAGCTATACGTTACAATATCAAAAAGAAGGTGAACCAAAATGGCATGAAATACCATTTAGTTCGTTGGCAACATCAGCTCCATCGATCGAACAATCATCGATGCCAATCTATACGCATACATTGGTCAATCTGGAAAGTGGCACTAATTATCGAATATTTGTGACGGCTGTTAATCGTTTCGGTTTCTCTGATCCAAGTAATATTGTCAACACTAAAACTATTGGAGGTTTGTTTCGTTTTTTCTGTTATTCAAATTTCATCCAAATTCTGATTTTTTGATTTCAACAGAACGATTGAATTTCCAAGGAAAACTGATGAACCACTACTATGAAAGTCCATATTATATGCAACCAGAATTCACTATTCCAATACTGACCGCATTCGTAATCGTAGTCATCATTATAGTCGTAGCATATGTCTGTATACGTCGTGCAAAACATCGAGCAGCTGCCAGTAGTCGTAAGTTATTGTTCATCGGTTATTTTAATCAACAGATTGACATTTTTAATCTTTTATCCTCAATTTCACTAGTTATCCTAGAGAGTGCAAGTAAACAATTTACCGGATATAATACGGCGCCAAGATATGCTGATTTTGATAAAGTCAGTGGCAAACCACTAATAATGACCGAACAAGGCAATATATTTCCGACTGCATATGCTACAATGCCACTGGATGAAAATATGCAGGTTTGTCTCAAATTTCGATTTAAAGATTTTTCACTGAGAAAAATAATGTCGATCTATTTCTAATTAAAATTAGCCATGGACAGGAGAAATGAAAAAAGATTCGCATATTTATGATCATCCGCAATAACCAATGGCTGTCAAACAAATTCCACTTTTTTCTGTTTATTATGTCTCAAAATAGTTGCCGATTCAATTGGATTTCATCTTGTGCCACGACGAAAGACACACAAACACACATCGAATACTCAAACTTTCTCAAATAGAACAAATACTCAAATCCACACCCAAAAAACAAAATATTCTTGAACTATATACAATATTTTCTTTGGTCTAACTCTATCTTCTGTCTGTAATTCTGGATTCTCTTTCTTATTGACTGATTCCCTAATCTAGTTTTTTTTGGTTTCTGTTTCAAATAGTCAATACAATTGATCTCATTCGAATGCATAACACACATCTTGGCCTAATTCCATATTTCAAACATACAATTCAATCAGATAGTCGTGATTTTTTTTGTTTTAATTATAAAATGAAATTTAATTTAATTAAAATGATTAAAATGATAATTTTCAATGTTTTCCTAATTTTTAGTTATAATTTTCCAATTGAATTATTATGATCCAGTGGTAGACATAAATTCGATTCGAACGACAAAACAATGAACCTGAAAAGCCAGAGAAACCAGACAATGAACCCCAAAAATACATGCACAATGTCCTTGTTTTCAGATAGATTTTCTGCTTTATTTAGTGCGCGTACCTATCCTGTTGTTTGGATGAATTTCGTTCAAGTTCGTGACCGACCAACAACAACACATGGTGTGTGTGTGTGTATATAGCTTTGGGCTGAATACTTATTTCCATTCTGGTTACAGACAACCCAATGAAAAAAATCACTGAATGACAAACACACACACGGGACAACTTTCCAATGTCGCAAGTGATTTAACGACCAATACCATCAATACGCAGGAACAAAAATAGTTTATACGATGAAATTGCAAAAATTAATCGATTTAAATTGAATTTCGATGATAATCGTTAGCCATTTGAAATGGACAATAATATTGCAATTTTTTGTGTTAAAAAAAATCCATACGAATTATTCCCTTCTGATAATACTTGGCTTTTAAAAGTTTTGCCTTTTAAATTTTGTGTAAATCAACTAGCATCGTACAAATTGGTCAAATTAAAAATGGGTTGGTCCGAAATGTTATAAACAAAAACGTTCGACATGCGTATCATTGATGAGCATGACTCTCAAATTCATTACTAGAGGACGCTATCGTACGGACTGTGTGTAAAAAAAAATTTCAAAAAAATCGGCAATCATAAACTTGTTCGAATTAAAAAAAATTAACCAAAATTTTTGATCAGGAATAAGAAATTTTTTTTATTTATGAAATGAAACAAAATGACATGAAAAAAATAATAAATCAATTTAAACAGTTTCATACATATCATCATCATAACTAACAATCGTTCTTTCCTTTGGATTATCAACACTATCGGAAAAATTTGAAGCAATCGCTGACCAAGCTTCAGGTGCTGAAAGTGTTTCATTCAGATCAGTATTGGATTTTGATTTTTCCGGATTATAAACTGGTTGACGACGCGCTAGGCTAACTTTTAAATGAATTCCATTTATTGTTTTACCATTCATTTCGGTGATGGCCATATTTGCTATATCGATTGAATCATATGTAACAAATCCACAACTAAATAAAAAAAAATACAATGTTAAAACACGAAAATGTTTTGAAAATTCAATTCACATACTTTTTATTCGGTTCGGCTGTAATGTTTAACACTGGACCAAAAGTAGAAAATGCTAGTCGAAGAATATCTTCACTAATGTTTTCACCATGAACATAAATTGTATTGCCCTGTTGTGGATTATCTCGATTCACATAATTTACTTTTCCATCTCTTTTCTTCTCTCTGAAAGCTTCTTCACGTGCTACCGAATGTGGATCTCTTGACATGACAAAACTTTCATAAAGTGGTTTCAAACGTTTACTTTCTGGTTCATCTTTTGGTCCTGAAATAATAAAAGAATTTAGAAAAAATTGTCCAAAATGAATTCTTCACAAACCATTTGGATCATCATCTGAATGATGATTATGGAATGGTAAATATCCACCAGGTTTATCCGTTCCTGTACAACGTTTTCGTTCATGAGCTTTTGATCGTTTGAATCCCGAATCTTGTCGATCTTTATTATCAGGTGCTTTGATTGCCTGAATTTTACCCGATTTCAATAGTTTTTTGGCAACTTCTTTGGCATCTGTTCCACTGTCAGGTGTTCGTTTTACTGGCTGTATTGCAGGCTGTTCTTGTTTTGGTGTTTTTAATTGTTGCAACAGTTTTTTCTGAAAGCGAAATCATTTTAAATGAATTTTTAGCTTTTATAGTAAAAAAAACATTACCTTTCGTTTAAGTTTTTGATATTTCCTTTGTAAAGCCTGTTCTTCTTCGGTTAATTTCGACGGGAGTTGAACTAAAGTCATTTCTATCTGTTTATAATATGGATTCAAAATATAGATTGGCAATAAATTCAAATTGATCAAATTCTGGCATATACCAAAACAATCAATGAGTTTTCGGGAAAGTTTTTTTGAAAAATTTTCGAAAAAATTTCTTGATCATTTATTCGATGATCATTATTCGACGAGTATAAACTTTGAGTCAATTTTTGTGAATTTTTTAAATTGTCTCATGCCTTTTTGAAACTTTTTTCTAGGTGATAATTTGATTTATTTTTTGTTTTTTTTTTCTTGAAAAAGGTTTGTTGATTCTCTTATTGGATAATGCGTGTTGATTTTCATTCTTTTGTTATTCTTGTTATTGTTCTATTGCAGAATTTGCTATTTTAATTTGAAAATTATGACCGATTATTGGCAATATGATTTTCCACCATTCTTCACTATTCAACCGAATGATGAAACTAGACGTTTACAAATGGATATTTGGTGTGCAATCATTATGGATTATTGTCGTCGGAATAAAATGTTTGAATTAAATATTAGCGAATCATTGGGTCAGCCTCCATTTCGAAATGATAAAATTGGTAGAAATTTAACTGAAGAAAGTCTTCGAATAATTCTGGATGAAATGGTTAAACGTGGCCGTGCCGAATGGATTAATGTTGATGGAACAAAACAATGTTTAATCTATTGGCTACGAATCGATGAATGGGCCGATATTATTAAACAATGGGTGGAAGAAAAAGCTCTGAATGGAACAATGTGTACATTATATGAGATAACACAGGATGAAGATCGTTCCAATGAACAATTATTAGGACTTGATGAACGTATTTTAATGAAATCATTACGTTATATGGAAAAAGATGGTAAAGCTGTAATCGTGCAGATTGATGATTCATATGGTGTTAAATTTTTATAATAAATTATTTTCTATATTATAAATCTATAATAAATTATTTAAAAATTAAATATTACACGTTAAATTGAAAATTTTCTTTTTGCACAGAGAGAAAAAATGAAAACTTTTTGAAAATTCGAACAATTCTGAATTTTCTCACATTCATAAATGATATAACGGATGGATATACATCTGTATTACAGACAAGATGATGATGATGATGATGATAGCCGACCTGTGAGAATTTGTTGTTTTTTTTCTCTTTAAATAATAAATAAATAAATAAATGAGAACGAAAAAAAAGCCCACGCAAGGTGTTAAATGTAATTATTATTATTATTACTATGTTTATTGATTTTGTATGTGTGATACATAGTCTTCTGCTCAAATCATAAACAAATAAATAAGAATCGTTAATTTGAAAAATTTTCTAAATGAAACCATCATGAAAATCATCTATGTCAATCAATGTTTTTTCACATATTTTTTAATCATTTTTCATGCTACTAAAGCATCCACTCATTGGATTGTCACCGAAGATGGCAAAATACATACTCAAGTTTGTATAGATATTGTTTATAGAATTCAATCAATTTTCATTTCTCATCTTGAACATATTGTAGGATGATTCAATTTTTCAGATGCGTCGACCATATGATCTAATGTCATTGTTGCAGCAGGAAAAACGAGCCAAAGTTTTTGCCAAAATTAAAGCCCAATTAATGGCACAAAAAGAAGAGATTGAATCGGAAAACTGTCAGTATTGAATTGAATCTTTTGTTTATGTTTATTTTTTTTTCATATATTTTTCTATTGGCAATCAACAACAGTTGATAATCAAGAAGATGTTGAACAAATGGTATATCTCACTAGTCCAGATTGTTTGAAGGCAAAAAAACCATTAGTACAATTTGATCTTTATGTTGGCACAATGGTTTTTTCCTATCCACGTAATGATCGTCGTTCATTACCAACACAATTTCCAATCAAAATGTTTCATAATCAACAGGATAGAATATCATCACCAATGCAGCAAAATTATCTTTATTTTGATCCAATAAATAAAAATTGCAACACATTTACTAGTTCGAATACTAGCTCGAAAATTGGTTTAAATAACAATGAAAACGATGATGAATTAATCAGCTTTGATATTGAAAATGAATCACAGCCAAACAGATTTAAAAATGCGCCAAATTGTAGTGAATATCCTTTAAATGATTTTTCAATGACTTCTTTCGAACATTTACCGGTAAGTTTGTTTTTAAAAAAGGAAAAAAAACGGTTTAAATTTTGTTTTTTTTTTCTTGTAGTCGGTACGATCACGTAAAAATCTAAAAATGGATGCTGAATCTGAAATTTTACGTTATATTGGAAAATGGAAATCATATCAAACATTTGGTAAAGATATTTCGGATGGATTAAAACAGGTTTTGTTGTTGAATTCATTTATGGACACTAAATGTCATGTTTTTTTTCCTTTGAAAATTATAGAATTCAAGTTCATGGATATTATATACACTGGCTTCATTTTATTGGCGTGGAATGGGTCAAGCCGAACAGGCCATCGAATGTATTCGTCGTGCACTTCATTCTAGTCCGAATGAATATCGATCAATACCATTATTGTCATTGGCAACGATTCTTCATCGTTCTCGTAGCTATGATGATGCTGTTATTGTATTACATGGCATTATCGATATGGCACCAGAAATACCACATTCACATTATATACTTGCTAATATCTATACAGTTATGACCGATTATAATAAATCGGTCATTTGTTTGGACAATGTTTTGAAACTTTGTCCAAATTTTCTTGAAGCTAAATTACGTAAACATGCTGTATTATGTCATATAGGCATTGAAAATGCACTGAAAACTCAACACGAGTATGTTTTATTCACATTCATAATTTGATAAAGACAATTTCTGACATTTGTTTTTTTTTCGATTAGAAATTTACAAAAAACTTTGGATGAATTAAAAGATTATCAACGACAACAAGAATTATGGATAAATTATCATCAAAAATTGCGATCCGAACAAGCCCCACCAAACGTACAATTAGAACAACGACTTCATTATCGTGAATTTAAAATTCGACAAAAATTGGAAGATGAAAATTTTTTCAAACAAGATGATAATCAACAACAGCAACATACAAATCATGATGATCATCCATTGACAATGGCAGCATTGAATCATATACAAATGAAATTAGAATCTGGTAAAAAATTATTCGATCTTCATTTCGAAATACCGGAACAGATCGATGAAACAGAACAGCTAGATAAAATGAAATCCAAAGAAAATGATGAAGAAAGATCAAATAGAATTAAAAAATTATTAGCATCAACAGCAACAAATGGAAACAGTATCGAATTAGATATTGATCAACAAGAAAATGATGGTGAAAATGACCATGATGAAGAAATTAATACGAGCAAAGAATGTTCAACATCATCATCAACAACTGATTCACGGCCAATTCTATTGCCTGTAACATTTGTATTGCCACCATCTGATTAAAAGAAAAAAAGATTTGATTTACTACTTATGAATTCTTTGGAATGATTTGAAAACATTAAATATCAATTTATTTTAGATTTTAGTTTTTATCATAATTAAGTTTTTCAAAAAGTTCAATCATTGACAGAATTTTCTCAAGTTTCATTTGATGTTCAGTTGATTGTTTTTCAAGGATATCTTGTCCTTGTTGACAAATTTTTTCCATTTGATTTTCAAGTTGTTTAAGACGATCAGTTTTTTCAATTACAGATTCTTTCATTTTTGATATTTTTTCTTCATTTTTTTTGCATTGAATGCGCAAGCCATCCACTAATTCCATGTGAATAGTCTTTTTACGATTAAATTCAATATTGTCTTTATTAATTTTCGTTTTCAATGAACGAATACTTTCTTCAATATTTTTCTTTTTTATTTCAATTTGTGCCATCTCTTTATCTAAATCTGATGTATTTTTTTTTATTTCCTTCAATTCTTCACATTGTACATCATTTTGTGTCTGTAGTTTAATCACTTCTTTTAGCTCGCAGAAATTATCCAAAAATGTTTCTGATATTGAACAGGATTTCAATTTAGCCACTGATTCATTATATTGTAATTTTTTTAGCTCCAATTCTTCTTTCAATGTTTTCAATTTATTTTCCGAATCATTCGCTGCCGATATTAAACGGTTTGGTGATTGAACAATTATTTTGGACAATTTCTTATTCGATTCAATAATCAGACCAGATTCCAATTTAATATCACATAATTTTTCTTTCAATGTACCAATTTCATCTTTTATTTCAGCAGTAATATTCGATTCTTTTTCTGCTTCACGTTTTTTGACCGCCAATGTTTCTTCCAATGATTTTAGTTCTTGTTCCATACCAATTGATTTATTTTTCAATGATGATATTAACATTGATTTCTCTTCAATCGATTGTTTAAGATTTGCATTACGTTTTTCCAATTCTTTGCGTTCACGATAAATATTGGAATATTTTTCTTTATATTTAAACCAAGAGTCCTAGAACCAATAATAATTAAACAAAATAGAAATTAAAAAATAAAAAAAAATAATAAATCAAAACTATAATTACTTTCAAAGTATTATATCGAACATAAAAAGTAGCCAATGAATGAAGAATACGAATCGTTCGATCACATTTCGGTTCTAAAATGTCAATCATTTTCATATCATTCATGCCAACTTTTGAAACAAAATAATTGATGCAGTGAAAGACATTAATCGCCAAATATGTTTGTTCCATATGTTCATTCAGACCGTTGATACAAGCCAAAATATCTGGTTGATAAATATTAGTAGACATGTCCAATTTTTCTAAAATTAGCATGTAAAGTTGAATAACAAATTCTTTGCTTGGTCGTTGTAGATCTTCTTTTCGTATGGAAATAATTTGGTTTGATTTGTAAAAATCAATAATATCATCTTCAGTAATTTTTTGATTTTGAGCCATATTTAAAAAATCGTTTTTAAAGAAACTGTTCAACAGACGGAATGAATAATAAATTGGTTCAAACAAAATTCACTTTTATTAGTCGTTTGTGAGAGTGAATGTTTGACGGTTGAAAAACGTGCTCATACTATGCGCATCCAGTTGATTTGTTACAAATCGAATATTTTTTTTGGCCAAAAAAGTTGTTACAGTAATACCCCGCTTAACGCGGGGGTTACGTTACAAAAATTCTGAGCGTTAAGCGAAACAGCGCTAAGCGGGTCTATTTCATTTTACCCTTCATATACAATGTAACAATGTAATGTAATGTAGGGTAATTGTACAGCGTTATATCGAATCAGCGCTAAACGGGGCAGCGTTAAGCGGGGTATTACTGTATTGACAAAACAAAAAATTTTGAAAACGGTCAAATCTGTGAACATGTGGGAGGAGCATGAAAAAAAAAACGCGCGCGCTCATAAACCACGTTCTCACGTTCATAAATGACGAATTTGATTTGATTTTTTTTTTTTTATTTCGAAAGCGGGAAAATTTAATTTATTTTTTTTTTTAATTCACAATCACCGGAAAAAATAATAATCATCAAAAAAAAAAAAAATTAATATCGATTTGTTCAATATCAGATAGATGTTTAACATCGACATTATTTTCATATTTTGAATCTTTATCACCATCCTTATTATTATTATTATTATTATCATTAACATCATTATTATTCATAATAATCAACGGTGATGATGATGATCGAATAATAGAATCAACACTATGATCCGTATATGTTGTTACCTGTTGTTGTTGTTGTTGTTGTTGTTGTTGATGATGATGATACGGATTACGAATATAATGATGATTTGAATGGCCAAAATATTGATATGATGAAGGTATGATTTGATGATGATGTGGATGATTATGTTGTTGTTGTTGTTGATAATGATGATTATGATGGTTATACCAATTAAATGAACCGGATGACGTTGGAACATTCATTGATAATGTATAATTTGGCTGATACGGATTATGATAATGCTGATGATTATTATAATAATTATTATTTGGAATATAATTTAAATAATATTCCTGATGCTGTTGTTTCTGCTGTTGCTCTTGTGATGATGATGATGATGATAAATTTTCATTTACCATCATTTTTTGTGTTGTTGATAACGATGGATATTCATAAATTGCCATCGTCTGTTGTTGTTGTTCCAAATTTTGTTGTTGATAAACTATTGATTGAATGAAAGCAGAAGAGAAAGAATATGAAGAAGAAATTAAATTTAAATATAAATGATGATTATCATTTTGAAACAATGTTGATGAATGCTGATTTGTAGAAAAGAAATTTGTTGCTGCTGCTGCTACTGATACTGCTTCTGCTGTTGAATAATAATGTTCAGGCTGTTTTACATAATTCAAATAATAATTTTGCTGATGATATTGTTGAATAAGTTGCTGCTGTACTGAATAAAAACCTATTAGATTAAATTCATTCAAATAATTGCTGAGATTATTAGCTAAATAACCATTGAAATTATTCGATTCTTCTTCATCATCATCATTGGCTGCATAGATAATTTCTTCTGAATTACCATTAATTTCATCATTGTAACATCCATTCAATGTTGCATCAGTATGTTCGATAGTGTTGTTATTGATGGTGTGAACTTCTTTATCCTGGTCGTCATCATCATTTTCATTTGAATTTTGAATTCGATTCTTCACTTTATCTTCATTTTCAATTTTGATTATATCATCATCATTATCATTATTCATGGTGGATGTTGAAGAGAATGGACCTTTGTTGTCAATGATTGTCACATCATTGTCATTATTATCACCACTATTAACAACATCGATTTCGCCTATAATTCCAGCACTTTTTAAAATTGATGATAATGAAATATTATTATTAGTGGAAGCTACTGGGTGATGAATATGTTCCATCTGTTGTAACATTGACATTGAATCTTTTGATGACAAATTTTCATCATTATTATTATTGATGATCATCTGTGGCATTGAATGACTTTGAAAAAATTGACCATTATTAAATAAATAATCATTATTTTCGTAACGAGATTTCGGTATCGGTTGTGAATGTGGACGTTGTTGTTGTCGTTGTGTTTGTTGACATTCATTTTCATCATTATCATCATCATCATCTTCATCGTCATCATCATCATCTGGTGATTGATATCTTCGTTTTCCTCTACACTTACCACCACCTCTTTTTTGTGGATTTTTATCCTGTATTTTACGCCATTTAGCACGTCGATTTTGAAACCAAACTTGTACACGTGATTCGGTAAGATTCAATTTACTACAGATTTTCGTTCACCGAAAAAAAAACATTTAATTGTGGATTATAGAAAATCAAATTAATTATTACTTAATGAATTTAAAATTATAAAAAATGAATAAATACCTAGCTAAATCTTCACGCATATTAACATCGGGATAATGTGTTATTTGAAATGCTCCTTCCAAATGAACCAATTGTTCGGCATTATATGTTGTTCGATTACGTCGCTGAAATTTGAAAAAAAAATGATGAAATCAATATTATAAAGTGGTGAATTATTACCGATCGATATCGTTGAATACCAAATTGTTGTTCATAAAGCTGTTCTAAATCCAATGTTGTATCGTTGACGATTTGAGAATGTGACGATGGCTGTGAATGATGATTTTGACTATGAGAAAGATGATGTTCATGTTGCTGCTGTTGTTGTTGTTGTTGCCGTACATTCATCGTTTCATTCGATGTGTGTAAATTATTATTTTTCTGTATCATTGCTGGAAGCTGTATTTGTCCATAATGAATAACTGTTGATGGCATTTCATGTCTAAAAAGTGGATGATTATGATATACAGTATTATTATTGTTAGCCATGGTGGTAATGTTGTTGTTGTTGTTGTTGGTGGTGGTGGTGGTGGTGGTAGCAACATATTCTCCATGTAACATTTTATATTTTTTTTCATCAATCTATAAAAAAAACAATTTATCGATCAATTTGACAATTGGTTAATTAATCAAACCTCTGTATTGGATAATGTTGATGCTGATGCTGATGATGATGATGATGATGAAATATTAGTTAATTCATCATCAATCATCAAATTATTATTTATTTGTGATCGTTGCTGTTGTTGAATATTTGAATCATCCATTATCGATGAATAATAATAATTTGTTTAATAATTTAGTTTACGACGTAATGAAATTTCTGTGAATTACAAATTTACAACATTTTGATTTTTAAATCGAAAAATTAAACAATTAAAATCGAATCGAATCGAACTGCTGTTCAAATGATTGGAGAAAATGTGCACTATTTATTTCAGAAATCATTCGTTAGTTGATGGTGGTTTCACCACCATTCATAACGGAAACAAAATTTTTTCTGTTTGTTTGAATTGTTGTCGATGTCGATGTTGTTGTTGAATGATCGTTACCAACAATGTACGTAACCTGAGAGATTCGATTCGATAAAAAAATTTTTATTTTTTTTTTCTTCTGTTCGCAAATCGAACTTACTTGTTGAATATGTTTTTTTTCAGAAAAAAAATATCGAAAAAAATCTAAAAATGAATTTTTCTCTTTGTTGCGGTGGGGGGAAAAAGATTTGATTTGAACGACCACAATCAGCTTTCGCCGATGCAACGAAGTAGTAGTGATAAGAACATAAAAGACCACCAACAATGTTGACCGAGGTTAAACTCTTTGATATACCGATGATCATTTCCTAGATTAGAAAAAAAAAGCTTGGTTACGTTTCCCGGATTGAGATGGTGGAAAAAAACCAGAAAATATTTTTTTCCGGAATCTTCTGAATATTTTTTTTTTGGAATCACCTCATAGCATTACGTCGTCAGTGAATGGAATGATGCAATGAATGAGTTGAGCATTCAAATTCAACATCCATCCATGAAATATGAATATGCCCCAAATCACCAGAATCGAATTTTCCCATTGAGAATAACATCATTTAAATGGATGTGTTTGAAAATTCTAAAATTTTATGATTTTTTTTGTTGTTGTTGTTGTTCCCAGTTCACCAATCATCATGTGATGATGATATCCAAATGATGTTAGTATATACAATATAAATGATAATGATGATTTGAGAATTTAATTATAATTAAATTTGTCTATTTTTCTAGTAGTTTGATTAAATTGAAATTCTTTCAAAATAATTACCGCGGTCATAATGGCCGGTCATATATTTTATTTAATTTAATTTTTTTTTTTTGAAAAAAATTGTCGACCATTTCTACCCAATACGATTTCCATATGACATGATCATGGTCGAAATATTGTCTTGTGTTGCATGAAATGATTTGTTTATGGTTTTTTTTTCGATATAATTGATTGATTATCACACTGCAGTGAAACCATTCTATTCATTCAATGATTTTATTTCTGGTGAGGGGAGGCTAAATTAATAGAAAAAAAATTATCGATTACCAAAAAAAAAAAAAAAATTGATAACTTTACGATCGAATGATCCATTTTCTTGAATGGATCCATTTACAATTATTATATTATTTGATGACTACTATGTCGATTGAAACAAATTCTACAACAACTTCAAACATAACATCATTTCAAGAAGAAGTAATAAATGAAGATGAAAATCCAATAGAAACATCTCGATCATCATTGAATCCGATTGATTCATCATCACCAAAACTTTGTCCAGATGATCATGATGATCTGGATCGAAATGAAACTATTTACATAGAATCTGATAAACAGAACATCAACAGCGATAATGATATTGATGATCGGAAAAATAAAGATGAAGAATTGGTTGTTCAATCATTCGAAAGTAAATTATCCATTCAAAGTAATAATGATAACGAGACGACCACCAACATTATTTCATCGAATGATTGGAATTTGAAAACATTTTTAAATGAACATTCTATTCATCATAATGATATCGATGTATTGATTATGAGTGAAGCAGGCAAACCAATCTATTGTTATTCAGGACGAAAAGATGTAACAACATTGATGGGTGTATGTGTTGCATTGATAAATTATGTAATTAAAACACAGAATGATCAACTTAAAACTATTCGAACGAACAATGATTTGAATATAAATTTTGCTATACGATCACCATTGGTTATTGTTGTCGTTTGTCGACAGTTAACATGTTTTGATGAATATACATTGATCAATCAGATTCATGCACAGATTATATCAACAATAACATTGAAAAAATTAAAATCTATCTTTCAACAAGCACCAACTTATGACCTCAAACGAATCATTCATAGTGAGTAGTGGTTGTTATTTGTATTTTGTTTTTTATAAAATAAATTCTTGTTTTTTGGTCATAGAGAATGATTTCAAAACACTTGACATTTTGGTGAAATCCATTACGACACCGATAACGGAATTATTTCCTACATATAAAAATAAACGTTATAAATTAATGGGTGGTAGAATTTTCAATAATGTCATCTCATTTTATACTTCATCATTGAATTCGATTCCTCGTTCTTCTACATCATCATCATCGTCATCGAATTCATTTTATCATCATCATCATCATCATCATCATTATTGGGAAGTAATTCCAATCTAAATAATAATAATAATAATACAAATTCTTCATCATCATTAATATTTCTTTATGATCATAAACCAAATGTTTTAAGCCGTGTTTATGTTCCAATAGCAATAATGAATCCAAATATTCGTGAACAGATCAATATGATTATTAATCAATCGGTTGCAACTAATAATGATATTGTATTCACCATATTATTTCATATTGAAGATGATGAACAATTGGATGGTAGTGGTGGTGGTGGTGGTGGTGGTGGTGGTGTTGGTAATGTTCAATGTTTACCGATTGATTTAGATTCTCATATTCAATGGAATCATTTTAATCCAAATATCTCAAGTGATTATGATGATGATGATGATGATGAGGACGAAGATAATGATGATGAAAATGATTCTACAACAAATGATCTTTATGAAAGTTTTGAATCATCAACAAAAGAAAATTATCAAAAATCAGATAATCATTTGGAACAACAACAGCAACAGCAACAACAATCATCATCATCATCATCAATAAATAGAATGACAAAAAATTTGAAATTAATTTCTGTTTGTAATCATACAAACAAATTTCGTATCAATCCATTGGATATCCAGCTATTATATGCATTGATAAAAGCTTCAGATAGTTTACTTAGTTCAACGGAAACACTGTGGATACCATTATGTTTAAGTCGTGTTGATGCTAATCGTTTTCTTCATGCACATGTATCATATCTAAGTAAAAAATATTGTCTTATCATTCTCGATGTTGATCATAATAATTTTGAAAAATGTCGTCAGGTAAATATTGATTGATTTGTGTTTTTTTTTCTGAAAAAAATCTCATTATTATAATTTTCTTCAGGTAAAAGAGACAATCAATTTTAAATTGGATCAAATTCGTCTTACCGAACCAATGATTGGATTAGGATCAAATATAACCGAATTGGGACAACCACATTTACAATATTTATGTCATCAAACACCAAAACATTGTATTGTATGGCAATCAAGTATACAAACAGAATTTTCATCACTAAATTATTATCTAATTGAACGTATGCAACGATCATCATTGAAAACATTATGGTTACGTAGTATGAAAGAACAATGTTCATTATTAGGATGGCAAACAGCAACTTTTCAGCTATATGCACAATTCGATGGATTCGTTACAAAACAATCGGCATTAGAAACTGTTGATACATTTATCAAATGGTTTAAAAAAGAAGAAGATAAATTGATTATTAAAGATTGAATTCTTTATGTAATCTTCTATATTGTTTTTTTTTTTTTTGTTTTGAAATCTGTACAAAAAAAAGTACTAATGTTTGTAATCTGTGAATCTTTTTTATTATTATTATTATTTACAAGCTAGCCTAGATTAGCTAGATTGCTGATTTCAATTTTAATTTTTATAATAAAAATTTTCATCATTTATTTTATTTTTTTTTGTGGACAAAAAATTTTCTCTTTTCAATCGTAAAATTATTATATTAAAAATGAAAATAAAAAATCAATTTTCGATTTTTTTTTTTTTGTTTCATCACCATCAACCGATAACTATCGCCATCTATCGGCGAAGATTTTACTTTTTTTTCATTGTTTTTTTTTCACCACTTTTTTTTCCAATCACGAATGAGTTTATTATTTTTCGAATTAGAATTCGATTCATCGGAATCATCATCTGAATCATCGTCATCATCGTCATCGTCATTTTCATCTGTAATTTCGGATCCATCATCATCATCATCATCATTGTCATCATCTCCCTTAAAATTATTATTGGATTTTACTTTATTCTTCTTTTTCATTGTTTTCTCATCTTTCGTTTCCGATTGTGAATGTTGTAATCGATTATTCATTGATCGACCAAATAGATGAATTTTTTTATTATCATTGGTTTTCTTCACATTTGTTTTATTAATTCCAAAATCTTTTTGTTTTATTGTTGTTGATATTTCTGGTGTCGAATTGAAACGTTTTAAAACGGATTTTTTCTTTCCTGATTGTCGTTTTGTCAATTGATTTGCTGTTTGAACCAAACGTTTGTCATCATTGCCATTATCTTCACCATCACCACCACCATCATCATCATCCTCATCATCGCTATGGCTTTTACTTTTATTCTTTAAAGTTTGCTGATTTGTTTGAACAGCAAAATTACCATCAAGATCACCATCGCTTTCATTATTCTGATCATTTCCTAAATCGTCATCATCGTCATCATCATTGTCGTCGTCGTCATCATCATCATCATCATCATCATCATCATCCTCAGTATTTTCTTCATCCGTATCCATATCATCATGATCTATATTTATATTTGATCTGGTTATTTTTTTACTCATGTTAAAACGAAAAAATTCATTAAAATATTTCAAATCATTCGATGGATTCATTCCATCCAGTATGTGTTTATAAATATAAGTCAAATTATTGAAAGATTTCATCGTGAATCGAAGTTCGGTAAGTAGAAATTTTAGCAATAATTTCTGTGTGTTTGAAAAATTTTAAAAATAAAATTTTTTAGCGAACAAAAAATCGATTTGTAATTATTATTGATCCAATAATCGAATTACCTTGAATATGATATTCTTTTTCATTTCATAATGTTGAATCGATTTTTGTATAAATTTTTCCGTCCTATCAATTGAATGTTTATTGCTATCTAAACGTTCCATACTTTGACTACGACGTTTAGCCAACATTTCTGTTGGCTGATTATTCATTGTGGTAGTGTTTGATGATGATGATGATGATGATAAACGAATCCAATTTAATCGTCGATTTGAATCCAACATTTTATTTGTATTTGATCGAAGATCTTCCTATGGAAAATAAAATTATTTCAATGAACCATTGAATCTACAAAAACAATGATTTACAACTTACACGTTGTTTTTGTAATGTTTCACCATATTCTGAAATGAGTGGTAGTAATTTATCCTCTAAATAAAGAATCTAAACGTTTTCGTTTTTAGTTTGATCGAAAGAATTAGATAAAGAATTGAATAACAACCTCTGAATCACGATGATCCTGTATTAAACGAAATATTTTTGATAATTCAAAAACAGTTCTTTTCAAACTTGGATTCAATATTTCAGCACTGGAAATTGAATTCAATTTTTCTGCCACAATATCACCAGCATCACGTAGTTTAGCATTACGTCTTGCATACAATGATATTGATTGTAATAGATCGGCCGTTTGTTTTTCATAATTTTCACCACGTACCAATAGATAACGTATTTTTGATTTTCTTTGATCATCAATTTTACAATATATAAATTAAAATAATTTTGAATTTGAATATGAAATTTTTTCAATTTTCTCAACTTACTTGCTGATATTCGTTGTTGTTGTTGTTGCTGCTTGCTTCTGTTGTTCGGCTACTTTTACCTACAATATTAATCGTTGGTAGCTGCTGTAAATTTTTATTACGATTTTTTCTGACCATTTTTTTTTTAATAAAAAAACAAAATATTTGATGATCTGTACTTGGTTGAATAATGTGATTGATAATTTTTTTTCTTGTATATTCGTTTGATGAGAATTTCGTCGATCAATTGTATTGTTTTTTGCAAGTATGTGTGTGTGTGCGTGTGTGTTTGTCGATTTTCGTTTTTGTTTTGTGTATGTTTGTGTGTCTGTGTGTGTACTATACACACACGGTTATTTGTTATGATCATGATGATGATGATGGTGATGGCCACCACATCACCATGGTGATCATCATATACACAATTACATTGAACACTATTATTGTTATTACCTTGAAAAATATTTTATTCTTTCAATGTCCCTAGCCTCTATATTTCCATTTCATGATCATCATCATCATCATTGACATTGACATATGCGCGCTCGTTCGCAAAAAAAAACACAATTAGATTATTGACAAAAAAAAATGTCAAAATATTTACAAAACTAATCAAGAAGAAGCAAATAAATTAAGAAAATTTCCTACCGCCCCGTTGGCCGACTATTATTACGAAAAAAAAAACAAACAAACAAACTCCAAATCCAGATATACCAAAATTCAAATTTGATTAAATAATAATTGATTTATTGAAAATATCGATTTTTTTTTAGTTTGGTGAACGAAAAACAAAAAATAATTTACAATTTTACATGAATTTTTTTTCCCAGTTTTGCTTTCTGATGGTCGAATTAAAAAGGCACACGTTTTATATTTAACTAAAATGAGAAATGTTAAAATTATTAAGTAGAAATGTGTTTCTGTGTGTGTGTGTGTGATTGTTTTCAATGTTGAGTAATTTTTTTTTTTTGTTTTGTTTTTGTTTTTTTATTTTGAGATCAAACTATCTCTCTTTCTCTCTCGTTATTTGATTGGCACTGGTTTTTTTTCATTCATTGATTTTCATGGTTTTTTGTTTTCATCGTCCTCGGAATCGGCTTTACCATCATCGTCATCATCATCAATATTTTCAACATCAATTTCAACATCATCATCAACGTTTATCAATGGTGTTGGTTTTTTATCCCGATTTTTTTCACTATTTATTTTATCATCATTATTGTCGTTGTCATCATTGTTGTTGAAAGAATTTTTTCGTCTACTATTCTCTAAGTTCAATGCGCTTAAAGAATTGTTGTTGTTGTTGTTGCTGCTGTTGCTGTTTGCATTCATTTGATGATGATTTTTTAAATTGGATAAATGTGCAGGTGGAGGTGGTGGTGGACAATGTCCATCATTTTTTGTCATCAAGCTACTGTTTGTTGTTATTTTTGCCGTATACGATTTTGGTGTTGAAGAACAAATATTTGTCAATGATGATGATGTTGATGAACTATAACTTGAAACGATTGATGATGATTTACTACCACCACTATCATCCTGTACAATTGAATTACCTGATGTTGTTGTTGTTTTTGTTTGTTTGCTAGTCAATGTAACAACTATATCACCAACAATTAATCGACGACAATTTAATCCATAACGTTTCTGTGTATGCGTTGGTGAACATGAACTCCACCCTTCTTGATATACAAAATATGGATGATCAATGGGTGAATCAAACGAAACTTTTGTACGGGATTGTCCTATCAGAAAATTTATACGAATTTGTTGTCCATTACATTTTTTATTTGATGATTGCGATGACGATGATGATGATGATGATGATGATGATTTTTTCCCTTATACCAACAATTTCAGCTAATTCAATAGAAAATTTTTCATTACATGTTGCACTGTCGATAAAATCTCTGGTAACTAATTCTTCAATTTTTTTAAGATTACCATCACCTAAACGTATGGTGGATCCTTTACGAAAATATTCGGGAAATAAATTTTTTGTTGTTGATTTTTTCATCAAATGATTATCTTGTTTCGATGATGATGATGATGATGAATGATTGGATTTCTTTTCAACATCTTTTAATAATAATGAATTATTATTGCTGCTGCTTATTGTTGATGATTTTGATGATTTAGCGCAAAGTTTATTTGATTTTATATTACTACTACTATTTCCATTGCTACTAGTATTACTACTGCTATTCATATCGATTGGAAATTCAAAACATTTATTATTGCCAACAAGATGTTGATTATGTGATGATGATGATGATGATGATTGATGCGGAATTATCGGTGGTGCAGATAATGGTGGCATATGATGATGATGATGATGATCTAAATACTTTGAATTAATGGCAGTTACATATGGTGATGATGATAATGGTGGTGGTGGTGGTGGTGGTGCGGGTGGTGGTTGTAATAATAAATGACGATTAGTTTGTTGTTGATATAATGATACATTATTATCGGCGTTTTTAATATTAATATTTGGTGGCTTTATCAATACTCGATGTTTACGTGATGATGATGATGAAAATTATTGCTTAATTGATTATTATTATCAATTATCGATTGTTGTTGCTGCTTATGTTTAGATTTATCCGATCCATCTGGATTTTTTCTCTTCAGACTTTGTTGTTGTTGTTGTTGTTGTTGTCCATTATTCATTGTGGAATCATTAGGATTATTGTTTGTGGTTTTATCAATGTCAGTTGGTGGTGGATTCGTTTTTGTTGTTGTTGTTGTTGTTATATCACATTTACGATTTGCTGTGAGATCAATAATTTGATTATTATTTGCCTTAATTTTTGTCTGATTCTCTTTTATTATTGTTGTTGGACTATTGATTCTTGATGGTGATTCTATATTTGTATCGCGATTTGACTTTATCTGTTGTTGTTGTCGATGCAAATGATGATCATGAAAAAATATTGATGAATTATTTGATATGGTTGGTGATATTAATGGATGATGATGTAATGATGGTGGTGGGGGTGGTGGTTGAAGTTGATTTGGCACAATAAATGGTGAAATAGGCGATGCTGCTGGCTGTTGATTTGTTTGTGATGCTGCTGCTGCTGCCGCTTGTTGGTAATAAGAATAAATTGGTGGCATCAGATAATGTGGATAAGTAAATGCTGATGGTGATGTTGGATTTGGCCTTAAATGACCTGTTGTTGTTGTTATTCCTGGACTTGAAGAATTACTTATGGGCAATACAAATGCAGCAGATGGTGATGATGATGATGAAGAAGAAGAATTTGTCCATGTAAGATCTGTGAAACCGGAGAAAATTCAAAATAATTATTATTGATTTCCTGGATGACATTGAAAAAACAAAACAAAAACATACCTGGATTCGATTGCGTTATTGTACCATTATTGGTACATTTTTGTATTTTATTATTACCACCGGGTGAACAATTGACGCCTGATGGTTGTGGTTGTTTCCCAGGAGAATCGATTGAAGGAAAAGTGAATTTCTCTTTAATTGAAGAATCTTGTGTTGCCGTTGTCATTGATCGGAATGCTGATGTCAGTTCCGTTGCCACTGTTGTTGTTGTTGCTGGTGTTGCTAGTGTTGCCTTGGTTTTCAATTTCATCGAATGACTATCTAAATGATCTTTTGTTGTTGTTGTTGTTGTTGTTTGGATCAATTCATTATTATTATTATCGCTTGTTATTTTGCCATTTATATTTGCATGTTGTTGTTGATGTTGTATTTGTTGTAATGCTAATGCAGCTTGTATAGAATTTGGTGTGTTGTTGTTGGCCATCCACGCCAATTGTTGTTGTAAATGATGATGATGATGATGAGGATGATGATGTGGATTCATTGTGGATGATGTACTCGATGCTGATGATGATGACGACGACGATGACGATGATGATGATGAACTGGAAAGATAACCAGGTGATTGTGGCGGTGGAAAAGGAAATGCAGTAGTTGGTGAATTTATTAATGGTGTTGATCCACTATTGAATGGTGTATTCGTTGTTGTTGTTGCTGCTGTGGATGGAAACAATATTGATGATGGATGATTATGATGATGATGATGATGATGATTTGAATCCATCATCGATATTGATGAATGTTGTCGATGATGAACATGATGATGGTGATTAAGGCTATTTGGTGTTAATGTTGCAATAGCAGTGTTGGCCATTGGCACATTAAATATATTGGTGCTCATTGCTCAAATGGTATTTTCAAGATGAAGAAGAAGAAAATAAAAATAATAAGATGAATAATAGTATGAGGATCGATTATCAATAAATTTGCTGATGATGAAGATTCGATTAATTTAGTTACAAATCGATTTTTATTCCAAGTAAATTCTTGCAGCCATTGATTTTTTTCCGTTTAAATTAAAAAAATTGTCGTTTTCTTTCGTCGATATTCATTTTTCGATTCATTTTTTTATTGTTTTCTTTTTCGTTGTTGTTGTTGTTGTTTTTTGTTATTGTTGCACATCATCATTTTTTCTCGTATTTGTCCCTAGAAGTATCCAAAAAAAAATGTAAAAAAATTATTGAAAATTTACATTTATAAATAAAAAAAAAATTGTCTGTTATTCTCATGTCATATCCGTCATTTTATCGAATCAGGCAAAATATACAAATGAAAATGAAAAAACAACAACAACAACAAAAATTCAATAATACGTCAAACTAACTAACTAAATTGACTAATAGTAGAATGTTTGTTGTATTATGTGTATATATTATTATAAATTGTAAATTTGTTCATATTTTTTATAATAACAAATGATTATTTGACATTGGAATTATTATGTCGTTATTTTGTCCAGTTTTATTATGAATATTTCACATACAAACGCACACACACACATATCGATCGTCCGGTAGATACACGCACACACACACACACACACACATCATTTCCATTAAATCCATATACAACCAGAGAGAGAGAGAGAGAAATGGCAAAAAAATTTATTTTTTTCAAATCATTTCCAATGTAAATGTTTTTTTTTGTTGCGCTCGATACATACACACACACACATGGTGGATGTGAAAAAGGAAATCCAATACACACACACACACACATAGACATAGAGCGATGGAGAGAAAATGACAAATTAATTATTTTTGCCAATTACATATATGTGAAACGATTTATTTGGCTTTTTTCATATATGATGATAATAATAATAAATCAGCTACTATATAGACAAAACAATTTTTGTTCTATGATGACAGATCACAGTGAATTTTGATATTCATTCTAATCATTCGATACTAATGAATTATTAGATTGATTTGGATGAAAAATTTTTTTTTTTTTGCTGCAAAAAAAAATACAAAAACAAAAACAAGGATGTGTTTATACATTTTGATTTTTGAATGACGTTTTTTCATGATCAATCAATCGATTGATAATGTGCAATCGATATGAATCAATCTGATTTCATAATAATAATAAATTGTCGTTGATGTGATATGTAATATTATATTATATACAAAATTATTGTTGTTGTTGAAATTACAAAATGGGAAAAAAAAATTATCCACTATCCATCATTATTATGCAGAGTAGAAAAAAAATGATTGGATCTATTTTTTGGATTCTATGTGTGATAATGATAATTATGTTTGTGGATTCACACATTTTCGAGACAGAAAAAAAAATCTCCACATAATTATTGTTAATAATCAATTTCAATCGATCATTATCATCATCATCATCATCATCATCAGTGTAATTAATTATGCATAATTATGCAAATATGAAATTCTAGTATGAACGAGAAGAAAAAAAAGACAAGAATCTTTTAATCAAATTGGAATTAACCAAACAAACAAACAAACAAAAATCAATGGGTGAGAGAGAGAGAAATATGGCCACTTTTTTTTATTTGTTTTGCGCAATCAATATACCAAATGCCAATGACACCACCACCACCATCATCATGTATTTTTGTTTATATATAACCAATAAAAAAAACGCAAATACATCAAAAAGCAAGAGAAACAAAAAAAACGAAATGAAAATATCTAATCCTTGAAGAACCATCACCAAAAAAAACAAACATTGAAATAGCTAAGTACATTACAGCTATTTGTATACAAAATGTTTGAATCCGAACCGAAAAAAAGGTGATAAATTGGTTATTTTTGAAATCGCGGAAATGGCCGAAAAATCATCTGTTTTAGGTCCAAGAATATTTTAGTTTAACAGGTAAATATCATGATCATTTTTAGTCATTCATTCATTCATTCATTCATTGAACATTTATTCATTTACACAAATGGTAAGAATTACATACACATTGACATTGACCTTTGCTATAGCCATGAATGTCGTCGCCATTTGTGTGTGTGTGTGTGTGTTATATAATATATTTCTCCTGGAAAAGATAACTGCAAATAAAAAGAAAAAAAAAGATGGACAAACGAATGAAAGAAAAAAAAATGAAGAAGTGATAAAATATCAGGTTAAGAAGCGAAACGAAACGATGCTAGTGAATGAGTGAGTGAGAGAGGGAAAATCAGCTTTTTTTTTCTCTCTCTCTCCATGACGTTGATGATGATGATAATCCGTCGAGCATCATTTTCGTATAAATGAGAAAAAGAGGAAAAAAACAAGATACCATCGTCAATGTCCAAGTGAAGAAGAAAAAAAAATTGTAATAAAATGAATCACATCAATGAACCACCACCACCATCATCATCATCATCATCATCACCAACAACAACATCATCATCATCAAACTATGGACCAACACATAAAACATCCGGCTTCTCATCATTTTATGATCAAACTAAATGTTGACATAACCAATCAAATGATGAAACCGGGATAAAATTTATTTATTTTTACGAAATGAAAAAGAAAGAAAAAAAAACTTGTTGGATGACCACATAGAATGTGAAAATTTCGTTTTTTTTTCATCGTCACCTGTTGTTGTTGTTGTCGTCGTCGTTGTTGAATATTTGAAATATTTTGTATAAAGAATTTAATGTATGAAAAAAAAAAAATTCAATTGACTTACATTGAAAACAAAAAAAATCAAGTAAAAATTATCTAATTAAACGGCTGAAAAAACTTTGGTTCATCATCATCATCATCATTATACACAACTGCAACAAGTCAATGATCGTCATCATCATCATCGTCGGGTTATATTATATGGAAAAATGTGGCAAATAAAAATGAGGTTTCTTTTGGTGCCCATTTTTTTTCTCTTCTCTACTTTACTTACATTTTTATTATTATTATTATTATTATTAAGTACTCAAAGTGGTTGCTGGTAGAATTTATATTTTTAGGCTGAATGAATGTATGAATGAGAAATATATTTTTTTTTATTCAAACAAACAACACAAACACACACACACACACAGACAGACACAATTTCAATACATATGCAAATGAAACCAATCAAAAGATGAAAAATAGAAAAAAAAACAGACGACGAAATTCAACTTGGCACCATCATCATCAACAACAACAACAACAACAACGATGAACAGAGAAATGAATTCTTTATAAATATATTTTTTCCCACAACAAAAAAAATGTAGAACAAGAATATTCGATAAAACAAAAACAAAACAAAAAAAATCTAACTAAATGAACAGAGAATGTGTTGAACATTAGTGTCACCATCATATTCAGTCTCTTATTCTCTCATTAAATCCTATGAATCATCAATTTTACGAGAAAAAAAAATGAAATGAAAAAAAAGATATATTTACATACACACACACACACACAGTTGTGATTTCGATTATCGCTCGAGTAATGTAATGATAATATATGTGGGAATCACAAATAAACAAACAAACAAACAAACTAGAATGTTGAAAACAGAAATTGGATTTGCAGAATGTTAATATACACACAACATACTCCATCCATTAATGTGATAATGTTTTGTTTTGTTTTGTTTCGTTTGTTTATATTTGTTATATGATGATGATGATGATGATGATATGGTTTCAAGTTGGTTAATAAGGTTTTTTTTGGCTTTATATTTAGATTTTTGTTTTGTTTTGTTTTCTTTATTCATTTATCTGTCTCTCTTTATTGGATAATAATAAATATTATTATTATTGGTTGATGATTACCATAATAATAATAATATTGTTGTGGTTTTGATTTGTTGATCATGATCAATAACATTTTTTCAAGATGATTATCATGAATATCAACAACAACAACAACAAGTGTGTGTGTGTGTATGTTTAGTCTCAATTTTGTTGTTGTTGATGTGTTGCTGGTGGTGTGTAGTATATGAAGAATTTTTTTTTTTGTTCAAAATTTGATTTGATTGATTGACATATGATTTTTGTAAATTATGATTTGATTTGTAATAGATGGAAAAATAAATATTGAAGAATGTGTGTGTGTGTTTATATATGATTTATGAAACCAGAAACGATTGATTGATCGGTTTTTGGCAAAAAGAAAGAAAAAAAGAAATGAAATGAAAATATTTTCTTTTTCAATTCGTTTATTGATCAATAGAAAACAAGGAAGAATGAAAGAAAATACGATGATGATGATGATGATTATATCATTTAAATATCAAATTTATTTGGTTAGAAAAACCAAATCAAAAAAAAAAAAAATGAAATTGAATTAAATCAATAAAAAAAACAAACAAACATTTTTTTTCCAAGTCACGAAATACCACCACCACCACCACAACAGAAAAAAACACACACACACATCAACAAGTTGTTGTTATGGTCGATGAACGAACGATGTATATTATAGATGGATGAATATGAAAAAAAAAAAAAATTTTTTTTTTTAATTCAAAAATCAAAACGTTCAACGTTCATTCATAGATTATATACACACAAAACACAAACACAAACGCACAGGTTTAAAAAAAAAATTGTCAACTTGATGCTGTTTGGTTGTGGTTGTAAATTTTGAATGTTTATGTTGACGGTGTGTGTGTGCACACCGTATGGAAGCTACAAACAAACTGAGAAAATATTTTAAGAAACACACACACACACACACACATACGATGAATATCGATATTTTTTTTTCTGAACGAAAAAGTTATCATCATCGTAGTCTTCATCGTCGTCGTCGTGGTCTTCGTACGTTTTTCTTCATTTATATGTTGTTGTATGCGCAAAAATGAATGGCAAGAAAAATAATAATAAAAAAGACTTGAAACTCACGAAGCTTTCTGTCTTTTTTCTTACCATCTCTTCAATGTATGTTGTCTTGGCGCGTCGGGTCGTTTCGGTTTTCCAGTTTTTTTTTTTTTCTTCTGTTTTCTCCGGTCTTTTTCGTTCGTTTTATTTGAAAGTCCCAGAGTTTTCGATCGTTTTTATATTTTTCTTAGCTTAGTTGCTTTTTTTTCTGAAAGCTTTGGTTCATCACCAAACACACACACACACACATACACTCGCAGTGTGTACGATGA